AAAAGGTAAAAACCAAACTCAACAAACATAAAGTCTGGTGGGACAAGGACAAATTGAACCCAATCCTCAAGAACCAAAACCGAGCCCGCCGTTGGATGATCTTGTCCAGACTACCTGAGGCTCAAAAATGTTATTATGAATGGCAAGCCTTTTTCAAAGATCAGGTACTCAAAACTAAAGTCAACCATTGGAAACAATTTTTGGAATCCTGCTCAAACAACGACACTTTCAAGGCTTTCAAATATGTCAAACCCAGCTCGTCGAGTGAAATCGCCCCGCTCAAAAAACAAGATGGATCAGTAGCTATTGATAAAGAAGAACAGGCATCTCTGCTGTACTACGGAACATCTGTTGCCCATGTGGAGGCCAATCTATCTGACATCCCACCTGATCTAGACAACCGGATTACACTTACTCAACACCTCTTCCCTAAACTTGAGCCCCACGAGCTCAGGGGTATTATCAACAACCTTCCGAACCGTCGAGCGAATGGAGACGATTGCATCTCAAACGAACTTATCAAACTGGCTTTACCTGCGATTGAGGAGGAACTATGCCGACTTTTTAACGCCTGTTTCAAACGGGGTTACTTTCCAAACGCCTGGCGTAAGGCAATCACGATCATTATAAGGAAGAATGGCAAAGACAACTATTCGGACCCGAATGCTTACAGGCCCATCGCGCTACTCAGCTGTTTAGGCAAGATATTGGAAAAGATCATCACTAGCCGGCTTACCTTCTGGGCTGAATCCAGGAAGATAGTTGCTGCTGGCCATATGGGCGGTAGACAGCATCATTCCACAGAGGATGCTCTCTTAATTCTCACGACCTGGATCAAACAAAAATGGAGGAACAATGAGGTGGTATCAGCGCTATCACTGGATGTGAAATCAGCTTACCCTTCAGTTCATCGAGAACGCCTACTCTCTACTCTGTATAATCACAACTGCCCAAGCTACCTCCTGTCACAAATCCAAGGGTTCCTTTATGAGCGTTCTACACATCTTTGACTTCAGGACTTCTTATCAGCGACCTTTGAAGTAGATAATGGTCTACCTCAAGGTTCTCCCTTATCAGTCATATTATACATCATCTACAATTCGCCTCTTCTAAATTCAACAACCATCTCTCCAAACTCACTCAACTTGTCACTAGGTTTCATCGATGATGTGATCCATTTAGTTGCATCAAAAACATTCGAAGAAAATTTAACAAAACTACAACTACACGCCACAAGATTGCTAAATTGGGCCGAGACTCACGGTGCAATTTTTGACAAGAAAAAGGCTCAACTTATCCATTTTACTAACAAGAGAAATCAGACCTTTCCCAGTTTCAAATTTGGTGAAGTACTACTACAGCCCAAGAACGAAATTAAATGGCTAGGAGTTTGGCTCGATACCAAACTACTGTTCAACTCGCATCTACAGCACATGAAGAAAGCGGGCAATTTCACTATGCACCAACTCCGCAGACTAAACAGGTGCTACTCAGGACTAGCCCCCAAAGAAGTCAAACAACTTGTTCTCTCAGTACTATTGCCTCGAATCCTTCACGGGAGCATAGCATGGTTCACAACAAGAAACTTTAACAAAGCTAATAAAATTATAAGGTCTTTTCAAAACGCAGCTCTGATCTTGATTCTTGGTGCTTTCAAAGGCACATCCATCGATCTACTTCACCACGACGCTTTCATGGCTCCAATTCATCAGATCGTCACAAGAAGACATCATAACTTCATCCTCAAAAGACTTTCGACACCAACCTCCCACCCAACTCATATGCTAATAAAACATGAACTGATGAATGGACCAACAAAGAACAAAAGCCCTATACAGGACATTCTATAATTCGATGTGCTGAACCAAACAGCAAAGCTGAAGATCGAAACAATTTATGCTCATCCTTTTCCCCCGTGGTCTAAACCAATCGGCACGGTTTATAATCTAGACAAATCCAAAGAAGAAGCTACTGACTTGATTCCCAAACAAATCAAAGAAGAGGAAGAAAGAAATTCAATTATTATATTTACAGACGGATCAGTAAATCAAGAGGGAGGCGGAGCCTCAGCCGTTTCAACTTCAAATCAAAAAACAATATCTCTCCAATTACCTCAGTTATTTTCCAATCATGAGGCGGAACTATTAGGCCTTTCACTAGCAGCTCAACTTGCTAAAGAACTTCTCCGCGGCAGAGTGCAGCAACACCCAGACTTGGCTATCTTTAGTGACAACCAAGCAGTATTGAGGCTGATTCACGACATTCCAAGGGCTACTTCGGGTCAACATTTGATCATCAAAACTCGTACTGAATTAAAATCTCTCCCTATAGACGCTATAATAAGATGGTATTGGACGCCAGGTCATGCAGGTATTGAACTCAACGAAAAAGCAGACAAGCTCGCCAAACAGGCGGCTGACGCTCATATGGAAGGCACTCGACTACCAGCAAGTTTGGGTAGTCTAAGAAGAATAACTAAAGAAAAGTTTAATACTAACCAGTTTCCTTTCAGGCCAGGTTCTAAACCTTTTTCTACCAAACCGCAGCACATTGCCAGTGCCTTAATGGGTATGGAAAAAGGTAGATCAGCCTCAATTGTACAGTTGAGGGCGGGTCATAGTCCCCTTAATGATCATCTTCATAAAAGAAATCTAACTGAATCTCCTTTATGTACCAAGTGCAGATTAAAGGAGACTACTGAACACTTCCTTCTTTATTGCTCTAGATACAAAAGAGAACGCAAACGATTCCGGGCCAGACTTCGCGAAGAAGAGATCAGGGTCAATTGGAACAATGCTAAAAAACTACTAGATTCTCCTAAAACCTTCTTTTTACTTTCTGAATTCATCTTAGAAACTAAACGCTTTGTATTTTTCCATTCATATCTACAGGACACAAACTCAAGAAAGCAGTCACGGGACAAAAGTTAGAATGTCAATGATCCGCAATATCAACGTAGCAATATCTTCCAAAGCTGTTAACCCGACAAACTAGATGCCCCACCTCCTTCCTTGAATTGGGGGACGAGTGGTCAGCAAATAGTGGGAAAAAAAAAAAAGATACTTCCTCAACAAACATTCAAGCTAGTCTTACCCGTTTAAACAAGACGTGGAATAAGTAACTTAGGCTAAATGTCACTGTTAATGCATATGAAAGCGATGTCACGATTGGTAAACAATCACCGACAGCACATACACATCTTAGTTTCCCTTTCCTTCCACCTTAGATTGGGGATGAGTCTGTGGGGCTAAACTGTCACTGTTGCTTGATTCCCTGCATTTGTAGGATATCTAGAGATGAGTCGCGAATGGTAAACATCCCCGACAGCACACACAATCCCTAGGATCCTTACCTTCCACCTTAGATTGGGGATGAGTAAACGACCTATATTGTCACTGTTTTTCTCTCAAAAAAAAAAAAGTCTAAAAAAGATAGCTGCCTCATTGCGTAACGATCTAAAGACACTTCTCACTCAAGTCACCGACTAGATGACTGTCTTTCAAGTGTACTAGTCTTTGTAATCAATTACTTGCTTAGATAGTGTTCAGGATGAGCCCCGACCCCTGAATGCCGGGGACTGGGCTGCCCGGCCCACCAACTTTTTTTCAAAAGTCAGAACAAGGACCGACCCCGGTATTCCCCGAGCTTTTTCTGGCTCATAGGTCAAGCCCGGCTCCCGTACCCTGACCCCCGACGAACTACCAAATCCCCGGGAAATTACGGGGATCCCCGAGTCCCCGGCTATTTCCGGCAGAAACCGCTGAGCACAACCTCTCCCAAGCGTGTATTTATCCGCTTTTTACAGCTTGATTTTTCCTCGGGTTCCCCGAGGAGAGTCACTTTCTTTTGACTCTCAGAACGACTCCCGGGCCCGATAATCCCCGCGGTTCTGCGACCCTTCGAAGGCCAGAACGACCCCCCGACCCGACGGGCTGTCCCGCGGGTATCCCCGATTTGGCGGGTCTCGGGGCTCATCCTGAGATAGTGTAATATGCAATAAAGCAAAAATACCCTTTAAAAAAAAAAAAAAAAAAAAAAAGAGGATCAACCAGACTCAAGTCAATGACAGGAAAAGAGAGAGATCTCACAATGTATTGCCTCCCCATGCGTGTCCACTGCGCAGGGTTTGAGACTGCCGAGCTCGATACCGGAACGACTGGATTCAATTCTCTTACATTCTGATTCAAGACATCAAGGGTACTCAAAGTAAGTATGTACGTGTACATACTTTTTGCTATATACTTTTTTTGGCGGGGAAGGCGAGGCCAAAAGTATATTTTTTTTCTTTGTCCCCGCCAAAAAAAGTATGTAGCGAAAAGTATGTAGCGCTACATACTTTGCTTTGAGTACCCTTATCGATCGACCAGTCAACTTTCTCTAGACATCACTCGTATTCAAGTGTTCATCCTTTTGACAAGTTTGATATTACAGTCAAGAAACGTTCGGCCAATCACACCCGCAAAACCTGAGCAAAACGGCGGAGAAATTGGAACACGGATGTCGTAAAAATGAGGATAAATGCGCAAGTGAATATCTTTATTGAAGCGAAACTCTTGAATGATTTGTACGCAGATATTGAACTGCGACCAATCTACAATGGAAGTGGTCTGGAATCGGTACAACTGTCACAGCCTTGAAACTCTCACAAGTACCCCCGCCAAACTACTTGGCGTGGAGAATGGGGTACGCATCTGCTCAGCTTGTCTCCCGGCGTGCCGAGCCTGGAACGGAAGGCTGTGATATACATATTGCAATGGCACACCGCTTTCCCCGTATCACGCCTCCTCATTGCTGATGGGAACCAATGCCGATTCCATAACTGAGCGGTGACTGTCTGCCGAATTTTCAGCAATTCCTATATATATGGGCAGCCCTCATCATTTCGAGTCATCAACAGACATTTGAGCCTTATTTACCAACTCTTCACTTCCAGCCACTCCATACGTATTTATCAGATCCACTAGACATCTCATACTTGATTAAATAATCACACAAATAACATGTCGCCAATTTACTACCCCAAAGCAGCAATCCCTTTCCCTTCTGAGCTTCCAGTCGCAGATCTTGAAGTCATAGATTTTGAGTTGATAAAGAAAGGTGACGAGAATGAGATTGACAGGATGTGGAACGCTTTCACGGGCCTTAGCTTCTTTTAGTCAGTAGACGCACTTTTTCGTCTTTTGCTATAGCATCATTGCTCCTCTTGTATTTGTGATTCGATCGGAAACTGATCCGTCATCCTGTCACAGTCTCAAGAATAGTAGAGTTGATCCTCAGCCATTGATTGACTTGGCAGAGACCACCTTTCCTGAAAAGTTTGAAGAAAAAATGCGTTTCCCTCAGGGAGACACTCGCTACACCTTTGGGTAAGTATTTTTTGTATTGTCAATTATATCAGACTTCAGGTTCTTCCAATAAGGAATTTAATGATTTGCCGTGTGGTACAGCTACAAAGGAGGATTTTATGACGGGGCTCAAATCATGAATGTGGGACATGATGCTGTCGACAGCTTTTTGAAAAACCAAGGTGGTCGTGTCTCTGTAGAAGCTTCAGATAAAACTCTTCCATCTGTACTGCATTTCATGAACGCCGGTCGAGAAGTTTCTCTTGTTCTCTTGGGCGTCATCGAAAAGAAGTTAGAGTTACCAGAAGGAACTCTAGTAGATCTTCATACCGGAAAAAATGGAAGTGGTGCTCGGTGAGTAGCAGTTTTCTTCCAGTTTTGAAATATAAAAGTAATGAGAGTTGAGACTTTTGGACAGAATCACCATGACTCCACCCCTCAAAGCACCTGCAACTGAACAAGAGATCCACTCGGCTGAGCATTATGACTTTGGTACTTTTGTATGTTCCAACTCTATCTCTTTTACCTACATACATTACTGAACAATGTGTTCCTATACAGGCAATCCTATTCGACAATGTCGGAGGCCTTCAATTTCAAGCTCCTGGTGACTCGACTTGGCAATGGATGAAGGTTAGTAGACTATCAAATCTTCAACTTTTCTACACAACTGACTTGTATCTTGATATTTTTTAGCCAATTGCAGGCTATGCATCCATCAACTCTGGTGATTACTTGAGGTCTTTGACTGGTGGAGCCATGTGAGTCTTCAATTTCTTTGTCACAATGATCAACACAATCAATTGAGCTGATTCCAATAATTCTCAATTCTTACATTTCTTTTTGTTTTCGGGTCATCAGTACCTCCTTGGCTCATCGAGTCTTGTTAGTTTTCATTTCTTTCTCCTACTCGCTTCTTGGAACTAACACTCTTGGCTTTTTCCCATTATCAAACTCATAGACCACCGCCGGGTGAACAATCCGCACTCACTCGATTTTCTCCAGTTTACTTTTGTCGCCCCAACTGGGGTGTCAAGCCCAAACCTGTGGTTGGAATTTCCATGGCTTGAATCCCGTTCATTGACCATATATGTAACATCTTTCAAAATTTCTTCTTATATCTATTATAACTGACAATTTCCCTAGTTTTGGGCACTCAGCCGTTGTAATTAACTGTGATGATCTCACTCATCACCAATTCCCAAAGCTTCACTCCACCGAAACCGTCCGAGTATTGCGGACTACCTTGACCAAGCTGTTTCAAGGCTATCGTGATTTTTTCTTTTACTTTTCAAAACTTGTACTCCATGCAATCTTATCTCTGGGTTTGGTTTTCAAAATGAAGTGATTTGATGAAATTTCAGTCTAGAGCTGAGATTCCGATTCAAAAATTACCTATCAGACTCTCGAATGCATAGCTTCACGATTCACTTGTTCACTCTCCTTAAAAGTTCGAATTCGTTCTATGAGACTTTCATGCATGGTTGCAATGAAAACTGCGATACTTCACTACAAAATCACTTGCAGAAGATCATAAATGGTACATGTACATTGAACCTCTACAATGCTTTTTCTATCAAGATGATTGAATTCAACGCGAGTTCTGTCCAAACATTGGTTTTAATCAAATGATGGAAAATACGACCATTGTGCAAATGTGTACCCTTCTTTTGCAAGACCTCTTGCATTTTCAAGATTGGTGCATAACTTCATCGTGCTTGGTGCGGTGAATGAGTTTTGTGGGGAAGCAATATGTATAAGCATCACAAGCTTCAAGTTGCTTCTATCCGATTGTGTATTTTAGGTGACACCTCACTTGAACCCTTCATTCAAATTTTGTCCCGCAGACTTGAAATTTTCATAAAAACCTCATCGACCGCCCCAAAAGTACACTTTGATACGTGCAACATATCCTTCGTACCATTTGGTTCTAGCGTTTGAGAAACATTTCTCGAATCATTCAGAATCTACTTCTTCATATCTCCTAGTCATCGGGCTTTTCTTCATTGGCATCCACATCAAAAACACGAAAACTAAAATAAACAACATTGACATTATCGAACTCATTCGCTGAAGAGGATAATCGATCAACTGATCTCTACCGAAACCCGATCAAAACAGTCATCAACCTTTCCAACAAAAATCATGTGTCCAACAGAAATCAATGCTACCAATGGCACCAATGGTCACAAGGTGGATGGCCTAACGAGCCCGAACCTCGATTCTACTCATGTGGCCATTGATGCCACTCCTGCAGCAGCCCCTCAGGAATCACATAAACAGTCAAACCCTTACGCTCCTCGATACGCTGACTTCCTGAGTAACACGAGCAATTTCTCTATCATTGAATCTACTTTGAGAGAAGGGTCGGTTTTACCGTTTTTCTTTTTGTTTTTCAGCTTTCTATTGAGACATCAAACTCAACCTACTGCATTACTTTGGTTGACCAAACTTTCAGGGAGCAGTTTGCAAATGCTTTCTTCGGTACGTACAACGTTTATTTACATCTCAGCCTTTATGGAGTATATTTGTTAATTTTTTTCTTTGGATACATAGATACCGCTGCCAAGATCAAAATCGCTAAAGCACTTTCAGACTTTGGTGTTGAATATATCGAACTCACTAGTCCAGCTGCATCTGAACAATCTCGTCAAGATTGTGAAGCGATTTGCAAACTAGGCTTAAAGAGTAAAATCTTGACTCATATCCGATGTCATATGGATGACGCCAGGATTGCGGTTGAAACAGGTAAATTCTACTACCTTTCTTCAGATGTGATCTTGTACATTAATCAACTTCTGGATCATTTTTCATTCAGGGGTGGACGGTGTGGATGTGGTGATCGGAACCTCATCTTTCCTTCGTAAATACTCACACGGAAAAGATATGACCTATATCTTAAAGTCTGCAATTGAAGTCATCGAGTTTGTCAAATCGAAGGGCATTGAAGTTCGATTCTCATCAGAAGATAGTTTCCGATCAGACTTGGTCGATTTACTCAGCATTTACAAGGCTGTGGACAAAGTCGGGGTTAACCGTGTGGGTATCGCCGATACAGTCGGATGTGCTAATCCTCGTCAGGTTTATGACTTGGTGAGGACTTTGCGAGGTGTTGTTGGATGTGACATTGAGTGTCATTTCCACGATGATACTGGATGCTGTATGTGCCAAATCGCTTTGTATCATGCTCATTGAACAGCGTGCTGACTCAAGCCTTATTTTCGTATTGGCTCAACTTTAGCTGTCGCCAATGCTTTTTGTGCTCTCGAGGCTGGAGCCACACATATCGATACCTCAGTTTTAGGAATTGGTGAGCGAAACGGTATCACTCCGCTCGGTGCATTGATTGCTAGGATGTATGTCGTGAACGTAAGTAATAGGCAATGTCTCTTATCTCGAATATCACTAGCCAACTATGTACTTACTTTCTTCGTACCTGGTCCCTTTTTAGCCTGAGTACATTAAGCAAAAGTACAACTTACCTGCTCTAAGAGAGCTTGAAAACATTGTTGCAGAAGCTGTGGAAATTCAAGTTCCATTCAACAACGTAAGTCACAACTCGTTTGGTAGATTTCACACTGCGGATCAATATTCCATACGAACTCCAGAGTATAGATCCTCGTAATTTCGTCACATTGAAAAAGAAAAACTAACTCAAATCTTTCGACATCCTACAGTACATCACAGGTTTCTGTGCATTCACTCACAAAGCTGGTATCCATGCTAAAGCCATCTTGGCTAACCCCAGCACTTATGAGATTTTGAAGCCTGAGGACTTTGGAATGACAAGATACGTACCTATTGGACATCGCCTAGTAGGATGGAACGCCGTCAAGAGTCGAGTGGAACAACTCGATCTTGAATTGAGTGATGAACAAGTCAAGGTAACGCCCAAAGACTTCGTGACATTGAATGATGCAAAACCATACTGACTTGATATTCTGATCCAATAGGATGTGACTGCCAAGTTAAAAGCATTGGCCGATGTACGAACACAGACGAACGAAGATGTTGATGTGTTACTTCGTGTTTATCACAAGGCAATCAAAGCTGGTACACTTGGTATTGGTGAACATAGTGCTTTAGATGCACTTTTAGAACAACACAAAGGTCAAAAGAATGGTACTACTGAAGAATTGGATGCACCAGCAAGTAAGAAATCCAAAGTTGAAGGAGTGACTACTAATGGTCAACATTGAATGTAGCGAATCCAAAAAAAAACAACTTTGAAATAAATCAAAAAAATCAACTTTTGGGAAATCTGAACTTTTTGGATTGTCATTCAGCTTTGGTTTCAAAAAGTTTATCAACTTTTTTCTTCATCTTAATATCATCCCGACGCCGTCATCTTCTGAATGCTTTAGTTTACAACCACATTTCAATTCTTACTAGTTTGATGTATCAATTCAGTCTTTTTTTTTATTTGATTGTGTTTTCTCTCTTTCTTTGTTGCGTGAAAAATGATGATATCAGAAAAAAAAATTGATGCGAGTTGATTTATATATGTTGCAATGATTTGTGAATCCTTTTTACACTCATGTTATACATAGTGGGATTGTGGATTACAAATGCAATGGAGGAAGTACATGGAAATGAAAATTAAGATTTAAAGGAGATGAACAACCAATTGATGCCTTTCCCATGGTTATATTGTTATCTTGATATGACTCTGCATGAAGTTCCTGACAATAACACTATTGGGCTTATTGGAGACTAATCATTCAGGCCCAGCAAAACATAGCTTTTATTGATCTTCACTGATATAGACCATCATCAGCTGATGAAAAATAAATGACACAGTCTCAATAAAAATTCAAATCACATTTCTTTGAAGCTTGGAAAGCAAACCTTCACCTGTTCAATGCATCATTCCAATAGTCGTATCTTATCATCATTCCATGTCAACACTTGAGGGACTGTACTACAAGTATTGTGATTGTAGCCTGAGCAGGTGAATCAATCGGATTTAGAGGTTAGGTTTAAGAGTCGAAATCCGACAAGGACTGTCTAGGTGCCTGTTATGTACATAGTCATGTGAGTGTAGGTTTAATCAGGTTTAATCCATACATCCAGTTCACAGCATCACACTTCTCTTCAAGCAAAACTTATTGATCCGCATACATCCTTCCACCTGACCCAGAAAACCGATTCTTGACTTCGTGACCGTTCAAAGAAACCATCGGAGTTCCTATAGAAGCTTAACATTCACTCATCCTACTATCAATAACGCGATGTCCGGTCAACCAGGACAATCCGAAGCTGAACAAAACATCCAGGTTAGCATCTCCCATCTGATTCGCCTGTTCATATGCCACATGGAAACTGACTTCGAAATCGTCTGTATAAACAGATATGGAAAATTAAGAAGTGTGATTCAAGCTTTCGTTCTATCATATGGCCTCGCACGCACATCTATTGAACATGCTCCTGAATTGCTTTTTTTCTGTAGTGGTCAAAAGCTTGGAAGCAGCGCGGGGAGCTGGAACCAGCATGATCAGTCTCATTCTACCACCAAAATCTCAACTTAGTCAAGCCCAGAACATGCTGGCTCAGGAGTATGGAACAGCGTTAGTGACATTCATCCTCGTCATAATCCTGTAACTTGTTCACGTACAGTTCTCCGATTTTCCACCACGTTGCAGGTCCAATATCAAATCTCGTGTCAATCGACTTTCTGTCCTCGCAGCTATCACTTCCACTCAACAAAGGCTCAAGCTCTACTCACGAATTCCACCGAACGGTCTGATTGTGTATTGTGGTACGATTCTGACGGACGAGGGTAAAGAGAAAAAAGTCAATTTTGACTTTGAACCTTTCAAGCCCATCAACACTTCCCTATATCTCTGTGACAACAAGTTTCACACTGAAGCTCTCTCTGAGCTATTAGAGTCTGATTCTAAATTCGGATTCATCGTCATGGATGGTAATGGCTCACTGTTTGGTACTTTGGCTGGTAATACTCGAGACGTGATTCATAAATTCACTGTCGATCTTCCTAAGAAGCATGGTCGTGGTGGTCAATCTGCTTTGCGTTTTGCTCGACTTCGTGAAGAGAAACGGCACAATTATGTTCGAAAGGTTGCCGAATTTGCTGTTCAACATTTCATCACCAACGATAAAGTTAACGTTCAGGGTTTAGTGCTGGCCGGTAGTGCGGATTTCAAGACTGAATTGAATCAGAGTGATATGTTCGACCCTCGTTTGGCTGTTAAAGTTATTAAAGTGGTGGATGTCAGTTACGGAGGTGAGAATGGATTCAACCAAGCCATCGAACTTGCCTCTGAGAGTTTGTCACAGGTCAAGTTCATTCAAGAGAAAAAGTAAAGCATGATCTCCCTCTCTCCTGAATTTCACCTGCCGCATCTTTCTACCCTCACTGGATTCTGATTCCTGGTACTTTTTGCCAAACATCAGGCTCATTCAAAAATACTTCGACGAGATTGCACTCGACACGGGCAAATACTGCTTTGGAGTCGAAGATACACTACGCGGTCTCGAACTGGGTGCTGTCGAAACATTAATCGTTTGGGAGAACTTGGATATCACTCGACATAGCTTACGAGCATCTACTGGAGAGACAATCATCATTCATACAGCTGCGCCACCTCCAACTGCTTCAAACAATGCTGCTGCTAGTGGAGGCGGTCAAGGTGCGAATGGTAATATATCTCTGGCATTGGCACATCTGAGTGAGAAAGACCGAGAGAAGTTCATCGATAAAGCAACAGGTATGGAAATGGAACAAGCTGCTGAACCTCAATCACTCCTCGAATGGCTTGCGGAGAAATATCAAGACTTTGGTGCTGCTCTAGAGTTTGTAACCAACCGTAGTACTGAAGGATCACAATTTGTGAGAGGGTTTGGTGGAATTGGTGGAATTTTGAGGTACAAGGTAGATTTTGGACTGATTGCTGACGCATTTGAAGATGTGAGTCAAATTGGTTCCGAAGATTTCTTGGAACGTTGTCATCCCAATCATTACATTATCACTGATCATCATTGTATTGCATCATTTAGGGAGAGGAAGGAGAATTCATGACTGACTCCGATGAATAAGTGGTCCCCGCTAATCGATTCCCGAGATAGCCATTTGGACTCCACAGAAAACCTTTTTCAGACTTGGTGCATATTGCCAAGTTTATGACCCGGATGATGAACATGATAATGTAACATGATGAAGGACGGGTAAGAGAAGAAATAGGTTTTGATTGCATATCGGAAAAACCTTGCTCACTTTCAGCTCTCGATCAGGACTGATACCAGTCAATAACATTGCTTTTGAGCCCGCCCGCATGTATATCTCATAGAAAAAAACCTTATTGTCTTGACTTTTGCCAAACAAAAGCTTGTGTTTCTCTAGTTTGAGTACTTGTTCATGGGTATAACTTTAAGCTGGCGTGAATGTGTGAACCTTTCTTGAAAGGAAAACAATCTTCCAAAGCTTTGATCATGTGAGATTGACCGAACCTTTTTAGAAGGAGGGATCGTGTAGAGTGTGAGCGATGAAGGACGTAATCACTATCAGTAATCTCACTTCTTTGGGGGTGGCATCTTTTCCTATCACAGCGCCTAAGGCCCATTGGCCTCCAATGATTTGAGTGTGTCTGATCACATCTCAAAGATTTAATGTCTTTCCATCATAATTTGATTTCAGATTTTGTTTTGTTGAGTGTCCGAACTTTCTGGACCCTCTCCCCTTGAATTGCGTTTATAGTGATCCTCAAGGGATGTGCAGTGAGTCAAAGTTGATGATGGTGTTGATGCTACAGACTTCTGGATGCGTGTGGCGGATTTTGACTTCCTCGTGCCATTTCAATGTTGATCAACATGCCACACCTGGTACACTTTGGTCCTAGGTTGACTGAGTCAGAGGTGTCAGATTTCTAGCAGATAAGACAGCAGCTAAAAATTATCAATGAGAATCATCTTTGCTATCCAACTCCAACTTAATGTCCATAGGATGGTAGGAAGTCTACAAGCTGAACACATTGATAATGAGAATAAGGAAAAGGACCTGTTAGACACATTTAGAGCTGACCAGAACAAATCAGTCACTTCATAGCTGGCTGATATGTAGGGCAGCATTAAATCTCAATCTTTTGTATGTAGATGAGTGTCAAGTGAATTCTATCCACCAAATCAATTGCTTCTCATTATCCTGAACTTGAAAGTGGTATTGTCAACCAGGTTCTTCATGGTGCATGGGCGCAGCAGGCAGCTGAGTTCTGGAGCATTGATATAACTTTTTTAATCTTATCAATGTTCACCTGATAAGTGAAATACATTCTTTGATTTATCAATTCATAATTTTCAATCATGATTCAAGTAATGGGAATCAGTGTTGAATGTATTAGATATGGTATTGCATAAGATCTAAAGTATGTTCTCAAGACATTAGCTTGATATTAAACTGAAAGGAAGAAGAGTGTGATATTATATTTTGTTTATATGTAATTGCATTGACACCAAGTTGGGTTTGAAAAGATAGACACTTGTAAACCAGATGGGCCAGATAAATTACTTTTACCTGCCATTGGTCATGGAGTTAGCTTGAGGTGGTTCAAAAATCATCTTATCAGACAACCCAGAACCTTCTACTTATTTCAGCTACAAAACACCATGGGCAAAAAATTTGTTTCCAGGCATGCAGAATTCTGGCACTTAAAAAATGTTGCTTTACCAGAGTGTTTTCAGGCACTGGACAAATATATGAGAGAGAAGAACTGATACATCTCTTGGTTCGTTAAATTTAGCATGGTATACTTATTTCAAATGACTCGGTCTTTCCATCTGATTCAGCATCAACACAACAGCCAATCAATTCCATCGTCAGCTGTGAAGAGGTATGATAATAGCTATCATTTTTGGCAATCCACCAAAAATGTTTGAATAAGTAGATTAAAAAGATATCTACAATTCCATTTGGTTATCCAACAATGCCATGGTGTTCATGGTTTCCATCTGGCGTCTCAAATCAAAGAAATCAAGGTTACCTTAATTATCATGAGATTGAGCAATGTCCCTTGGTACTGAGTCACATCCTAAATTTGAAGTGTAGTTTTATACAAATTGGCCTTCATCTTCCTGTAGCCCACAGACTATCTTCCAATCATGTTGTGAGTGTCCTTCATTTTCCAGGCACACCTTTGAACCTCCATTCTAACACAAACAACATCAGGCATGAAACTTTGTATCATATAGCTCAAACATCACCCCGGAGCCAGCTCCAGCCTCACGGTTTGGGGTCTCCAGAAGCAATTTTGTCAGCTCAAGCCTCAAATTCTCCCCTCCAAATTTCAATCAGAACCCATTTGTTTGGGGGATGTTTGAGACTGAAGATTGTAAAAAGGGAATTGTGCCCATAGGGCTGACCAGGCTCAGCTTGTGATAGGAGAAGCGCCGAGCGTTCCATGGTGTGCCTCATTTGTATTTGTGTGCTACACCTACAATCTGATGTCTGATTACCATCACTCACTCTATCAATTGGAACAAAGTTCATATGATTATCCTGTTGGCCAAGATATTGGATAAACAAAGAACGCCCTGTGAATTTCATTCGTAGCAATAGGTGATGAATATTGGATACATTGTAATTATTGTTGGAATTTTTTAAAAACATGGTCAAAGTACAATAAATTCAAAGGATCTCCCTTGGATCAACAAAACTAGAAGTTCTTTGGGGTGGTTTTTTTGTTAGAAACTTTTTGAAAATCTTTTTAATCCCACGCATCATCTTTTGAAACTTGGCTGCGAATTTATCATACCAAACCAATACCTTACTTTGACGTGGAGTTTGGATTTCAAGTTGAATCCCTTTTTGATTGAATATTTCCTGCAAATCTGTGAAGAGGGAAAAGTCGATGCCATGTTTTTCAACATAAGATTGAAGATGCCACTGATATAAGTTGCGTGATGCTCGTGCTGCGAAATAATTCGTCGGTGTCAATTCAGAGTGAAGGATACGCTCGTCCTCCGCTGCATCGATTGCATAGGCTGTGACCTTCTCTATGCTGGGATCCTCTGCTGGAATGATCTCAATGCTTGATTTCTTTTTGTACATATGATTCATGTATTCATCTGCTGTGATTTCCGAAAGAGATTTCTGCCAATTGGTCTTACTGTCCTTGCCTCTTGTCTCATCTTCAGCCAAAGTCTCTGGAAATGAAATGCGTGCAGCTCTTTCGGCTGAAATAAGTTTGAATGTCTTGGCTTTGTCAGTCAGTTTCAGACAGACAGACTTGATGCGAGAAGAACGAAGAACTGACGTGGATTTTTTGCTTTTTCAATTTGATTTGGAGATACCTCATGAGCCCATATTGATTTTCGCATGTAAAGTACATCCATGTGCTCATCTAAGACGCTAGTATAGGCTAGAAACGTTTTGACCTCGACACCCTTCTTTATGCCGTCCTTGAGTACTTCGACATATCTGCCTCTTTGTTTCTCGACTATGTCGGCTAGCGCATTGATGGTTTGCATATCGCTTTCGCCATCGATTATAGCTTTGAAAAGGTTTTTTTCGGCGTAAAGTGCAAGGAATGCTTCGAAAGTGAGAGGTCGTTGTGTCTTCCGCTGATATATCATCTCCTCTTTGTCAAGCTCTACGTATGGTCCCTTCGGCTCGCGTTCCATAATATCGTCTGTCAATTGAAATAAAGACTTGTCGAAACGCAGATCCATGGCCTCCAGGGTGCCTTGTTGGTCAATTCCTTTCAATGATTTCGGCAATGACTTCGTCCTTGACACTATATATTTGACAAAACATGGGGGCTTTCTGTCAGAGGTTTTGAAACTGGGAAGAACTGGGGCTTTCTTGCTTGGTTGCTATAACACTCTGATGATTTCACTTACACGTTGGAACCGGATCTAATCTAGATATCTTGCCCCGAAAAGAATCGGCTGAAAGACAAGATTGCAGCAACAATCAACAATCATATGAGAAAGACGCATTGGAGTGATGAATGATGAGTATCCACAATATGAAAACCTACCTTTGCCCAGCTTTGCAGTGTCCGTACCGCTCAAAGCTTTGCTGGATCCCGAAATATCATGAGCTAAAAGTTTCCATCATCATGAAGGGAAGAAATTAGGATCTCATATACGAAGACTGAAGCTAACGGTTTTCAGACCTTTGTTGATATCAGATATAGTTTCTGCGGCTTTTGACCCCTGTGCTACCTCTCCAATGTTGCTCGCGCCATGAACCAAACCTTCGAGTGCGGGTGATCTTCTTAAGAGTTTTTTCGTCAGCCCCCTGGGCTTATGCGGCACCTCTTCAGAGGTGCAAAGAGTGGGATGGCGAGCAAAAGATGGTGAGTTTGGTATTGCGTCATTTAGAAACATAAATGTTATGTGGGTCTGAACATGCAGATTAGATAGATGAAAGGTACCTTGCCAAGATTTGTGGGCGTTCATCTTGAGCTCATCCAACATATGTTCATCGGGGTGAGCGAATTGATTTTTGATTTCTGAAATTGGGATACGAGTTGCTGGATTCAGGACCTATAAGAAAGATGTCAGAGTTCGGCGTTCATGATTATTTGATCTCGAGATGATCCACACATCCCGAATCGCACCTGATTAGAGAATGAAGGTGATTCCAAGGTCTCCCACGTCTTGAGCCCGGTTGCAACAAAGGTGCCTCTCCATTTCGTGCTGACCCGGTCAGTTTGGATATTGATCTCTTCCTTGGAAGTTGATGCATAGATACTCAATTTCAGGTTGAGCAGGATGACAATGCGTGATATGCACTGTAATTTTGGTCGCATTCCTAGTGATGGTCAATGTTGTTAAGCCACTCGAGGCCGATGAGGGGATGAAAAAGGTCGCCCTTTGGTGTGTGAAATGCACGCTGCACGTTCGTCCGAAAAGGTTTTCTGAAACAAACGATATGGACGCGAAGAGTCGATTGTGAACAGAAAAGTTCTGTTATGGTTTTCCACTGTAAATTTGGTTGTAAAAAAAAGGAATCCCTGCCAAAAATGGTGAAGTGTCATCAAGGTACAGAGTAAGTAATCAAGACGGCATCAGAGCTCGATGTTACTGACCACATACCCTGAAAATAACACCTTCGTAGCTCCCAACATTCAATTGAACCCCTTCTAAGTTTCAACATGGGGTTAAAACAGGACCCTGGCACGCTCAGAAGGAATGAGCAAAAAAGAAGCTCCATCGCGTCTTGTTTGCAGACTCTGATCCGCATACCGTTCCGAAGGTCGTTGAGCACAAGATCTCAGTTAGGAAGTCAGAGGAAGCCGTAACCACCCTTTGGGAGACGACTATAGTAAGAGGCACCGGCGGTGAGACATCCGATTCCTGGTCGTGTTTTTCTGAGTGATACCAGAGGGCGCTTCCCTGCAAACTTAACCAAGTCCCTCACCAAAAGGCCCGGCGTCCCTGTATCACGTTTGTAGATTCTGATCATACATCGAAAGAGAGAAACAAGCGGTAAATGATGGACTCAAATGAGATGTTGTACCGTTGTAAATAGAAGAGCTGATCAGATTCGGAATGCAGGCGATTGCTTGCAGAGGTGCTTGCAGAGGAAGCATTTGGATTTACATGATCAGCTGAATACCCCAAGATCAACTGGATCATCCGATTCCAAGCTCCAACTCAATTTCTTGAACTGTCACCAAGAAATTAGATCAAAATGAGAATGATTTGGGCCGTTTGGAATGTGAAGCTCGTGATCCATTTCTTTTCAAGTGAACCAGCTAATCCACTCGTAGCTAAAAACGTGCCGCTAAGCTACAGCTAGCATGAATTAACATGAATGAATTTCAGCTACCCCATACAGAGTCCCAGGAAATCTCCAGCTAACCAAATTTTGGCTCTGTAGCGTAGTGTACAAGCACGAGAAATAGCTACCGTAGCTGGTAGAGTAGCGTGACTTGATAGGCTACACTATCATAAAGATAAGATCCTAGTGCATTTTGAGTGTAGTGTAGCTGTCTCAGCGTTGCCAGCAGCGTCGAGCAAACCCGAAATGGCGTGTGTGAAAAAAGAAAGAACACAAATCAAACAACTGATCAAAGCGACTCGGACAGGTGACCGTGTAGCTACAGTACTTACACTTGGCCTCAACCAACCCAAAAAATCAGAAGTTGTCTGTAGCGCTACTTTCTCAAAAAAATATGCGAAGAAATGATGACTCAAAAAATATTTCAGGGCACAAAATAGAACAATAGTGTCATATTGAAACATCACACTTTTCTTCCGGATTGGAACAATTGAAGAAACTTGACACAATCTACCAATACAAATCAACCTCCTCTGGAGGAGCAGACACTGCACTTTCGTTTCTCTCAGACATGTGATGAATCATCAAGATTGATATTGTAACTTGACATCCTGGATTATGAGAATTTAAAAGTGGAATACAGTTGGATCATCATTCGAATGGCGAAAAGAAGACGTGGTGACAAAATTGAGACTGACTAGGGTGAGCGGACTGGACTGGAAGAGACTGGTCTAATTTTTTTATCTAGAGCCGTCTTGAACACTGATTTGAGTTTATACATACTCATTTGGTACCGAGATTTGAACTGGTCGTACCAAACCAATACCTTGCTTTTGGGTGGAGTCTTAAGTGTAAGTGGGATTCCATTTCGATTGAATATTTCTGACAAGTCTGTGAAGAGGGTCCAGTTGGGCCCATACTTCTTGAGATATGATTGAAAGTACCACTGGTATTGTGTGCGGGCTGTGCGTGCTGCATCGTAATTGGCTTTTGTGTGTCGAATTTCGTAGAGATGATCCCTCGCCACGGCTTCGTTTGCCCAGCCTCTAACCGTCTCTACGCTGGCATCTCCGGCTGGAAAAACCTTGATGCTTGATTCTGGTGAGTAGAGGTAGCGGGAGACTTCATTGTATGTGATTTCCAGTAGTGGGTCTTCGAAAAACTTTTCGGGATTCTTGTCTCTGGCCGCATCGGCAGCCATGTTTTCAGGGAATGCAACAAGTGAGCCTTTGGCTGAAGTAGGTTTGTATGTTTCAGTTTTGACGATTGATTCCTTACAGATACATGTGATTTGAGAACAACGATCAACTCACGGGGTTTTTTAGCATCTTTAATCAGGGATGGATTTATCTCATTTCCGGATGTCATTTTTCTCAAGGAAGTCACTTCCGCATTTGCATCTTGAACGCTGTTAGTGTTCAAAAATGTTTTTTCATTGTAACCGACTTTTATGGCCCGCTCGAGGGTATCGACATATTCGGCTCTGTATGTGTCGACCAAGTTGGCTAGCCGATCGATGGTTTTCATATCGGTCTTACCATCAATCACGGCCCAATATAGGTTTCTTTCTGCGTAAAGGGCAAAGGATGCCTCCAGAGTGAGGCGCTGCCGCCTCGGCACGTAATACGCAGGGTCCACGTGATCTAGTACGGCGGCTATCAAGGGAGTCCGTGGCGGTCTCTCGCGAGTCAAAACACTGTCTGTCAATTGATACATGGATTTGTCGAAATGCGTATTGATGGCTTTCAGGGCTGCTTTTTGGTCGATTACTGGTGTCTCTGGCCATGAGCTCGGAAGTGATTTTGACCTTGTCACTTCAAGTTTGAAAATGAATGATAGAGAACACAGACAGCAGTTACAATTTACTCTTTTGGTGCTATAAGACGACAGATGATTTCACTTACAAGCTGGAACCGGGTCCAATCTTGATGGTGCGCCCCGAAAAAAAGAATCCGCTGAAGACCAAATTGCAACGCACAGAAGGAAGAAATCAGATGCCTGCGGTGGTGATGAAAGCTCTATATCCACTTCGCATGTGATCAATAAATTCGTCTTTCTTACCCTTGCCCAACTTTGAAGCGTCCGCGCTGCTCAAAGCTTTGGTCGATCCTGAGACCTCACGAGCTAAACGGTTTCGTCATCATGAAGGAAAGAAATCAGGATCTCATTTCAACAAACACTAGTGTAGAGTATTTTCTGACCTTTATTAAGATTGGATATAGTTTCTGCTGCTTTTGCTGCTTTGGCCGCCTGTGCTGCCTCTTCAATATTTCTCCCGCCAGTAAACATACCCTCCAATGCTCTTTTGACTCGTTGTTTTGTCAAACGTTTAGGATGATGCAGTACCTCTATAGGGTTGCAGGGAGTGAAACGGCGAAGAAAAATGTAAGTTTGTTTCTTGGTAAGTTGGGAATATACAGATCAGATATTTGAAAGGCACCTTGTAAGGATTCATGGAAGATATGAGCGTTGCTTTTGGCCTCATGCAAATGGCGTTCGCCAGAATAAGAGAATGGCATTGGAGCTCCGCTTTGTGAAAATGAGATACGAGTTTCCGAATTCGAAACCTATCAGCAAAGATGTTAGGATGGGCCGTTCCTGATAATTTGATCCTGAATTCATCCAAAACCTTACCTCACTAGAGAGTGAAGATGACCCCAAGACCTTCCAGACCTCGAGACCGGATGAAAGAGAGGTATCTGCGCTCCATTTTCTGTTGATCTTGTCAGGTGGAATGTTTTGGTCGTTTCTGAGGCTGATTGCAGAGGTGCTCGATGACAAGCCGAGTAGGAGGGCAATGAGTGAAATGTATGTTGATACTCGTGTCATTTGAATTTAATCACACCCTTGACTGGTCACGTGAAGGGGAAAAGGTAATCCGAGAGTGTGTCTTGTGAGATGTCTGACTTTAGAAGGACGTTTTGACTTCAAGGTACTCGTGACACAAGTGATGATGAAACGCAAAGATTTGATTGTGATTGAAAAAAGGCGTGTGTTACAGGAATGTGACGAAAATGATGGAAAGGTCCTTAATGATGGTTATTCGTTTGAACTTTGTGATGTTGCTTAAACGGATATCTGTCAAACGCAAGGTGGAAGATACATACAACAGACCGAAAGGTGATTCAGACATCAGAGCTTGGCTTGAGCATTGCTCACCGGCTTGAGGCAGGTCATACCGCTGAAGGGACCAACACAGCATTCGAATGCTCGACTTGGCTTGGCAGTGTCAACAGCATCGGTGATCAGTAGGACCCTGACATGCCCAAAACTAGAAAAGATGCCGAATTCCGGCGTGAACCAAACCGAATTCCGCCCCTTTGGGCACCCTTGTCTTCATCGCACTTGCGTCTTCGACGGGTCTGATGATCATCACCATGGCATCTTCTCACTTTCCCTCTCATAAGTTTAAACTACAGGTGAAGGAATCATAACCACTGGGGCAATCTTACGATAACATGATCCACAGCTGACGAGTAAGCACCCTTTGTACGAAAACAGTTGACTCCTACATACCTGCTCATGGAGGGTCTACCAAAGCTCGCCGTGGCTTTTGTATATTGTAAGCTTAACTAAGCCCTTCTAGCGCGATGGCGCGGTGACCCGTGGAAATCTGGCTTTGGAAGATCAAACAATGGATTGAAAAGAAAATCACAAGATTGGTGGTAGGAATTTAAAATGATAAGAGCAACAATTATGAGTAACATAGCGTACCTCTACGCTATATCTGGCGCGTGCCCAGAAAGAAATAGTCATCTGTTCAAGTTTGACGAGGAATATGCTGGCGATAGCACTAATAACTCAAGACTCCACAAATACCATCACCGCGTGTCTACTTGACCACATATTTTCTGCCAAGTTTCTCTTTGTCTAAAGTCATGCTCCACATTTGTATAAATCGAAATGCCGCCCAAAAATGCCCCAGCACGATCTTCGAAGTACTTATTGGTGTTCTCAGTCAAAATTGCAAAAGAAAGACAAAGAAAACTTAAAGACAAAAACTGGTAGATTATATAAAAAATTAACTATCTAAACAAAGCGTTCTACTGTGAATTTGAAACTCTACGGAATAAATCAATCTCTAGCTCTTGATATCTTTGTTTTTGGACTCTGAGCCACAGTAGCCTCTCCAGTAACAGAAGTAGTGATTTTACCCTTTGCGCCATCCTCTACAAACATCCTCGAGAAGAAAATTCCCTCATGCACAGATTCCTAATGGAAACAAAAGGTATGACTAAGTTTCAGTCACTGCAAGGAGTTTTGAGAAGAATTGAAAATCTAACCTGAAGACCTTTGTGTACTACATCACTTCTTTGGTCATAAGGATCAGCAGGGTTAGGACGGGGACTGGAAAGAATAGAAATCGCTACATTAGTTATCTTGAAATGGCCATCAAACAAAAACTACCCTGGCTTACAATTTGATCAGTTGAACATGCCATTCTCCAGTCAGCTTGTTGTCAGCTTCAACGACCTTGGGAGAGTTCGTCACCGGTCCCGCAACTTTCTTTAATTCCTCATCACCTTCAGACGCATAAACCGTGAGCGTACTAAAATCAAAGCAAAGCCACAATGATGTCAGGAGGGTTCTCAATATGAGATGCGAAATTCAACGAAATAGATTCAAGGACTTCTTTGCTTACTTTGCATCCCAATCTACGGCAATTGCGGTGTTATAACGTGTACCTTCTTTGATGGGGATAGAATGAAGTACTTTTGTAGTCAAATCTCAAATTCTGATCGTTTGTGGATTGTTCATACTCGGTTGAGTTAAGTTAGAGCTGAAGTCAGACCCAGCAAAGACATCAAATACGTGATCACCTAGCATACAATCAAGAACCATAAATTCAAAAGCTTTCTCGACTAAACTTCATATATCAAATGACTTACCACTCTACAGTTTTCAAGTTGACGGAGCCAAAGAATTTCAATGAGAACAGAACACAGATATGTTAAACCCGGAGAAAAATAAGCAAACTCACCGGAATCTCAATGCTAGAAAACAAGTATCCATGTGTGAGATTCAAGGGAAGATGTGGGTTCATACGGAAGCTCTAAAAATATGACAACACGTTCTTAGTCAGTCTCTTATTGACCACTTGTGATGACCCTCTTTCTTTCATATCTTACCTGGTGAAAGACAGTCGTTCCAACAAGTGTCTTATTGCTATCGATAGCTGGTAAGACGTCAGTTCGTCTATCAGATTGATCAAAGCACCATTAGAACAATACATTAACAGAAAAAAACCAAATCTTCACACCTGAAACCATGTTGACAATTCTCAGCTTTATCACCAGGACAAAAGATGGAAGAGTCTTTAATCTGAATTCCGAGTTCAACATCTTTACCGTGCGAATGGATCGTTAAATAATCTCCCCTTTTCCTCTTCTCTCCTTTAACAACATATTTGATCAACTTTGATAAAGCTGATGAAGGATCATCAGCATCTGATCCTTTCATATCAGCTGTCAGCGCGAAATCGAACAGATCATCTGTGGATTTTCTGGCTGCGGTTATTGTTCCGTAGCAGGACAGGACGAGTGCTAAGTGAAGGAAGAGAGAATTGAAGTTGTGCATGTTTTGAACGGAAGAAGATATCTAACAAAGCGATCAGAGTAAACTAAAAAAATTAAGAAATATATGTAAACGCTATCAAAGCGTGTGAAAAGTGAGGTAAGAAATGAAGATAATGCGCGATGGGGTCTTGTAAATGGTAGTTGATGAGGGATGGTGGGCCGTAGACCGCTCGAGTGGTGAGCTTTTTATACCTTGATGAACTCTTCATCCATAGTTACATAGGTGATATGTGTGCCACTTCTCATCGCGTCTTTCAATTGAATAATCCAACCTACGACAACTTACGACAACCTACGACAACCAGAGTGATACGATGGCGTTCATTTCAACACGCGTAGTTATCCTCAAATTTGAACACCTTTCGAAGCCATAACTCTTCAACAGTCTTCAACTCTCGGGGTGGTCATCAATCTTCTGGTATCATAGCAATGCATTTTGTCAAACTCGCTCATGCCTACCTTACAATACAGCTTGTGTTATGGAATACTTTTTCAAAAAATAATTCATGTAGGATATGTATGCTCGATTGGGGTCTTTGTTGCCCTAAATCATACGTGTCGTTGAACTAGGCTATCTTGATAGTCTTGGTACTATTACATTTGCTAGAAATGTTGTCACCCCTGGCACATTTTCATCACACGAATTTCGCCGCAGCTGCTACGCGCAGCAGCGGCTGATGACGCGGCCTGCTCAATCTGCTGGCTGTCATCCAGCTATTCCAAACCCAGCTTCATCCACCAACCCCTCGCGATTCAACACCATCACAAACATCATCAATCATTCATTCCTTCTCAATAACCAACACCAATCTTACCTGCTCTCAAAACACATTCAGAATCGATATTCCAGCAGCTTGAATTTTGTGTGCATCAGCACTAATGCTTCCAAATTCATTTTTTTTCATTCTTCATGACCTTTTCACTTCAAAAAGATTCATTTCGGTTTGACGCTTTCTAGACTACTATTCATTTATCAATCAATATGAGCATTTCCGTTGTTGGAGAAAAAGTGTGTATTTGATGAAAATCAAGACAAGATCTCATGATACATGTGTCCAATGGAGTGTCCTTCAGAGCTCATGTGAGGATAATTGAACACTAATCGATTACTGCTTATGAGCCTTGGTCGATTGTTCTTTCAAGGAGAATGACGATCAAAATGATCTTGTGAGGAAAAGGAAGGCAACAAGTTTGACCCCAGTCATCATTCCTGTTGACCATTTTCAGTGATTTTATCATAGAGGACCACATCCATTCTTGTCTCATACTTATTTTTTCTCGTTCATCTCTTACTAAATTGAGATTCTATTCTGTTCTACGTACTACAAAATAACTCATCCTCTATCTATCACATTTGGAAGTGTTAAACTCTCAGAAGGGGGGTATTGATTTGGACATGTCTTGTTTAAAGGAATCACTCAGGTGTCAATCAAAGGGTCAATTGAGTGTGATAAGACATTGTGCCTAATTGAGGTTTTCAAATCGAACGATTAAAAGATGAAAGTGACAAATCAGGATTTGAGGAAAATTACGTCGTGAACGTTGCAAAAAAGGGCCAAGTAAGCGTGTGATTTGTGGATGTTGCTGGATACTATTTCCTGATTAAGATGGTGTTGAGGTTTGTTATCGAGAAGGAATGAATGGTTGATGATGATCGTGATGGTGTTGAATCGTGAGGGGTTGGTGGATGAAGCTGGGTTTGGAATAGCTGGATGACAGCCAGCAGATTGAGCAGGCCGCGTCACCAGCCGCTGCTGCGCGCAGCAGCTGCGGCGAAATTCGTGTGATGAAAATGTGCCAGGGGTGACAACATTTCTAGCAAATGTAATACTACCTTTGCTAAAAAGCTTGCCCGGTTCGACCGCGAACAAGAGACAAGAGAGCTCGAATTTGGCCGCAGCCTGCTGCGAGGCCGCTGCGCAGCTCGACAAGAACCCAAGTTTGGCCGATCACCAATTCTGAAAGAGATCGACTTCAACTGTGGATCTCTGACATTGAGATATGTTGAAATCAATCTTAAAGCGCAAATATCTCCCTCATCATGATGGAATCATGCTCACAGGTCTATGCGATTTCTATTGCGCTGCGAATGTTATCAAGACTTGTTTTAATTCCATTTTAAGAAAGCGATTCTCGTCGAACGGCTTAAAAATGCGTGACTAGCCAGCGTGGGTGCTTCTGCCATCTTGGGTTCAAAGCCGAGCAGCCCAAGTTTTTTTGCTAAAATTCCGAAATGAAATCAAGGCTTACATCTTGGACATTTGTCAGTACAATCATCATCCTATGGTGACCTCGTATGAGCTCTTGACTGAGCAAGAAGAACAAAAGATTTTCAAAAAAAGGTGGCCTTTTCTGACTTGTACTTTTTTGTCTCACAAAGGCAAAACGAAAAAAAAAAAAAGTCTATGACGGCTTGAACACGCTACCATCGATCGAGCCAAGCAGACAAATATGTGTTGCAAACCATTACACTAGGAAGACTATAAGGTGGGATCCATTTTTGTTATTATTGAATGAAAGCCGCGCTTGACTGTATGGTTGATCTTGACGTACCAAGCTCCAGATATGTTGTGAATATAGGCATGATGTGTTTCAAAATGGTTTAAAGTCAAAGGCCCACAGGTGAAGTCGATCTCTTTCAGAATCGGTGATCGGCCAAACTTGGGTTCTTGTCGAGCTGCGCAGCGGCCTCGCAGCAGGCTGCGGCCAAATTCGAGCTCTCTTGTCTCTTGTTCGTGGTCGAACCGGGCAAGCTTTTTAGCAAAGGTAGTATGAAGAAGGCGACAAATAGCGTTTTGTATGCACCAAGTGCCTCGAACCGCAGGCGTCCTCTGCATTGGGGCTGGGGCACCCCTCCGTGATTGGCTTGTTGTTAAGCCGGCTCAAAGGCTCGTTTGGGCGCCTCCTGTTTGCTCCTGTTAAGTCTTGACCATCTGAAGAATCTGAACTACAATCGAGCTCACTTCAGCTTGAATCTTGCTTCTCCCGTTCTTTCAACGTTTTGCATATTTTACGGCTGTTTAGCCGTAGAATGACTGGCGGGGTAGACTCAATGTTCGCTCCACGATGGATGCCGGTGTCAAAAAAATTTCTGGGAAGTCATTGATGCATCCAAGCTGTCTGATCTGTGAGACAAGGGCTCGTGTGTTGGGAAACTTCTAACTAATTTCTCTGCCATCTCCGGATGCTGGCAGGGAGAGCGCTGCTGATCTAAGCTGCACCACCTGTCGCGGCCGCGCGCAAGCTCCGAAGGACGTGCGCGGTTTGAGACTAGTGTGCACATAAAACTGGTGAGGCTTGCTGAGGGCTTGTGTTAAATGAGCTAGCAGCTAGCTTTTAGAGCTTTTAGCTTAACAAAGCCCCCGTGCCAAGATTTCACGATTAGCCGCAACCCCCCGCGCGGCTTTGTGAATTGTCTTACACCCAAAGTTGCCAACATGAGAAAAATAAAAAAAGATGAGAGAAGTTGTGGAGACCATTGGCAATTGTGATAGCTGCCCAGCCGAATGTTTATGTAAATCAACTCTACTCGGTCACTCCAGAGACTTTGTCAGATATATTTCGTCAGCTTTGTCCAAAAACAACATGCATATAGGTAAATGTTTTGATTGACGGGATTTGTCGGAGATCATCATTGACATTAGTTCGTGTTGCAAGACTATGTTGAAGTTTGAGAAAGGGTTAGCTTTGCTGTCCGGCCCACGTAACAGACCTTTTTAGATCAGGCGATCCAATTTTCATCAGACCACCAGATACGAGGTTCTTAAGGTGCCAGACACTTCTTGTTCCAAGCTTCCGTTCAGCCCGTATTTTAAATCAAACCCACCACCTAATCCAGCGCTCCACAAACGGGCCAATGGCACACAATCATTTCCTTTTACTTTACATAATTCTAGTCGTTCTTTCTTCACTTGACTCCCACTTCATTGATGGATCTCTAACCGAGTCACTTCTTAAAACCCCTTACCAAAAACTTGCTCACTTGGATGATGAGGAGTCACACATTTATGTTCCGCCCGAGTCTTTAACGGATCTCCAAGTGCGAAGACCAAATCCAACTCGCAGTAGCATCAAATCTATGATCAAGACCACCACAGGAAGAGTCACACACTTTTTCACCACCCAAACCTCTGAGAGTCCAGTTTTGACAAGCTGGGAAGTCTGTTATGATATCTCTAAAAAGGTTTCTCAATCATCCCGGTCTCCTAACGTAAACAGATTGGCCGCGGCTGTCCTGAAATTGGGACCTCGATTAGTTGTTCATCAAGATGACACGGATCAAATAGAGCATTTAAGACGCACAATTGATCTTTTCTATCTTTTTCTTGAGGAGGATTTCATGAACACAGCGGAAAGGCTCTGGTCTGTTGGGGTACTCTCATATCTGAGACCTCAAAGTCTGGGGTATCGAAATTTTCCAATTCCCAGTTTCTGGACAGCCAAAGACATATATAGGCCTCGTGGAGATTTTCTGATTTTTCTTTTCAAAGGTGAGTTATGTATTCAAACTTTGGATAGTGAAGCTATGGTTGATTGGATTGCGTACGCCATCTATCAGACAAAGATTTGGGGCGAGTAATTCGGGATAGCTCGTCAGAATCCCCTTCGGAACTAGAGACATCCGAACAAGGTGAGTAAATTAACAGCTCATCACATGTGTATGAATGGGGATTGATCATCTTCTATCAACTACATAGTCGTCCAGGAGGCAGTTCGAAGGGATGAGATCGTGCATCTCATTCAAACCCAGATGGCCCACCGTAACCCATCAAGAGATTTTCAAAACATTTATCTCGCGTTCACCAACTTGAAAACCCCAATAGATTCCGAGAAAGCCTCATTGTTGATGAAATCGATTGGAAATAGTCTGACTCGCCCAAAAAGTCTAAAGGAGAATGGCTTTGATGAGGAGGCAAACATAATTAGATTGCTCTTGCATCTCGAGGAATATCATTATCAGAGTTATGCACAATTCACAGAACTAATCAATAAACCAGAAATTCGGAAAAAGATCCTTGTGAATGACATAAATTTTCAACTTTCAGACGAGAAACACCCTGAAAACGTTATTCGACTTTTGCAAGAATTTAAAGAGACAAAGACTGTCAATGAACAACATCTTCCCGAAATCTTGGAGATCTTGAAACAGGAACAAATGTCGATCCCTCAACTAGGACGATTCTTTAGAGTACTCAGCTTGGTATTCGTAGGAAATCACCAGATGTATAAATCTCTCCAGCTCCGACTGGGTGAAACCTCTAAGATGATTCCAAAACTCTTCCAGGGATTGCTAAAATATCGCCATGGTCAAATCAACCCGCTCAAGTTTGAGTGGGGAGCTCTCGAGTATCTAGTCTTTCTTAAAAGTAAGTCGATTTGAATGGTCACATGAAAATTTCAAACAAATCATTTATAACCTTCTTTTTCATTGGTTAAAGATGAAGACCAAGTAATGGAGAAATATCGAAATGAGCTCGCGAATGAGTTGTTATCCGGTGGCGTGCTTTCGGAGAATGAGATCGCTAGACATGGACGAAATTTACCTAATGATACCAAAAAGGACATCGTTGATGGAATGCTATATAGGATTTTCAAGAGTTTGGCGGAAGCCAGAACACCTCAGCACGACCCGGACACACGTGACAAACTTATAAAATACTTCATTTACCTCCTCGCTTTCAAGAACGATGATAGGATGCTATACCGTTTGTTTCTAGCCCCTGAGCACGAGCCAGAGAAATCCTCCTCCCATCAAATAACGGGTTACCGGGGACTCAGCAGTCAAGTATCTATTTTTGTCGAGAAAGGGTCTTGGTGGAATCGCAAAGGCGGACTGGGTTCGTTCAAAAGAGTTCTTCAGATCCTTGAAAATGAGATACATAGAGATGAGATGTATCTTGTGGAACATCAGAGCAGTGGAAGACAAGCACTTCTCGTACGTAGTTTTGTAACTCATTGATCACGCCTGAGACGGTAATAACCTTGTATGTGTTCTTGTTGCGAAATACTCGATTAGTCAGCATAAGGTACACTTCATCCAGAACTCTCACAAATAGCGCGAGAATCACAAAACAATCAGCTTGTGTTCAATTACTAAATCAGGAAGAATAGGTAAGGATTGAAATTTTGCACTTTACTTGTAACCTTCATATCTTTCTTTTATCCTATCTACAAATTGTTTCCCGTACTTCTAGTACATAAGATTCTGCTTTAATAAGGCCGATACATATCGTTGCTTCCCGTGTTGAATTGCGCTGGATCCTGGAATCAATTGTATTCCATCTTTACCCTACACTAGGGAATTGGGCGGCGGGCGCCGCACTGATAACAAAGGTTAAAAGCTGAAGCCATGTTCATTACATTTCCCAATGAGCTGATATTGAAAGGAATACCATACGTCATAGTGAGTCAAGAGAGAGGTGTGATTAAGAGGCTGAACAAAACGGACAATTACAATCATGATTAAGGGTGAATGATGGATGCCGTTCAATCTTAACTTTGTCATTGTATGTCAATCAAGCTGTTATTGATATTTGAACTGTTAGGTGAGTTTATGGCACAATTCATGACACTGACTTCACAAAAGGGTACATCGGCATGCAATTAATAAACATATCCATTATTCCGCTACTCAATTATCTTTCTTAAGAATTGAGTCTTGTTTTCTTCAGTTTAGGCACTGAACAAAACAAGAAACTATGTGGGCTAGAGGCCCCCCCGAAAATTTTTGTGAATTTTTGGGGTGGCCAGTTTTTAAGAGGTCACTTCCTTTTTGTGCTTCTACGAGAGGTTTTTCTTAACCTATCTAGAGCCTAAAGGAGTTACCTCTTAGAAAGACTAAGAGCGTGGGGAGCCGGGGTCTCCCCTAGGGAAAAACCATTTGTTTTTCCCCAATTAGTAGGGAGGGTGGGTTGGACAAAAAAGTTTCCTCAACAACCTAAAGGATTGTAGTGAACTTAAATCAATTTAGGGAGGAATTGATATTTAACTCAAATTCTTATAGTAATATGGAATCTGGATAATATGATAGTTAATGCAGTGCAGTAAAATGGAAAGATGACTGAGATTAAAAAAGAGACAACTGAGGAAATGGGAGGGAAAGGGAGGAAGGTGCTTCTCCCTTTTTGATGCTTTATATGTCATCATAACCTCCGTTTATTCCTTCATTTCCAATATCGTGACGTATTTAATCTGATTATGTATTACTCTCGTAATCCGGCTTCTCTCGAGAAAGGAATATGACATTCCTCTTCCTGGGTTAGGATGACATGTTACTCATAACTCTCACTCCTATCCGTCATCTATTCTGGTGCACGCCTTCATGGACTAACTTCACATTTTGTGCCTCGTGTAAAGGCCTATCCATTATTCCGCTACTCAATTATCTTTCTTAAGAATTGAGTCTTGTTTTCTTCAGTTTAGGCACTGAACAAAACAAGAAACTATGTGGGCTAGAGGCCCCCCCGAAAATTTTTGTGATTTTTTGGGGTGGCCAGTTTTTAAGAGGTCACTTCCTTTTTGTGCTTCTACGAGAGGTTTTTCTTAACCTATCTAGAGCCTAAAGGAGTTACCTCTTAGAAAGACTAAGAGCGTGGGGAGCCGGGGTCTCCTATCACTCAGGTTAGTGTCGGTCCTGAGCCTCTCCGGCTCTTCCCCACACCGTCGCTAGCCACACAGTTTCCTAACCAGCTTGACGCTTCTTAAAATTATATTTTCATTGTATTCAGAAAGAAGAGAAGGCCTAGATTCATTCTACTACACGTAAGTAGGGATTTTACATTTCTCCTTATCAAGCACGTATCTCGCGCATCGCCATTCAATCTCTGACCATTCTCGTTGGTACAGCGAGCAGCACTCTGACTTCCAGCGGCCTAGGCGTTTAATCTCTTCTTTTTGAACTCCCGCTTTTGTCAAGAGAGTCGCGCCGCCAATCCTAAAGGAGTGGCCTGTCATGTTGCTCGATTTTCCCCAAGCTAATTCTAACACCTTACTCAGAATTGGTCTTGTTATTGCTGTTGTCCAACCATCTCTCCAAGTCATAAACAGTCTTGGGTCTTTTACCCTCTCCATTCTTCGTACCAGCCTTCCCAAGGCTTTGAATGGACAAAGTCTGCCACCTGTTTCTCGAAGCAATAGATACTGTAGCTCTCCGTTTTTAGATGTCTTTGCGTCACGAAGAGTAATCTTCGCCATCCGTTGTCCCCTTACCGAGATGAACTGTAGGTCGGACTTCAAAACGGCTTGTATGTCCTTCTTATCGTACGAAGATGCCTTGTAAACGAGTTCTCCTATCCGAGCCAGACCCCAATACGCTGTGAGGACTAAAGCTGTAAGACCCACAGGATCTACCTCATTTTCCTGGATGTAGTCGATTAGTTGCACCAAGGCCTTCGGTGAAACAGGTCTTCTGTCGCCGCCCAGTAATTTCGCCTCCATTTCCAACCTCGTTGATGAGCGTAGAATACTCTTCAGTCATGTTTCATTAATGGTCGGGCATCGCTGTCCATGAAAATCATGCCAAGTTCTGATTGCGGATAAATACTTGTGTATCGTCGTCACCCTTATTGGCTTGTTCGTAGCTTTCACATTATGGTTGTGTCCTGCCCATACAATGAAAGATTCAACCGTAGATTGAGCTGCCGGGAACGGCCTTAGGCCAAACTCCTCTGTAAAGACTTTGAATTTTTTGACCCCGGATGCATAAGATTCAAGGGTATTCCTCTTCCATCCGCCTTTTATCATATGTCGCTGAGTGCTCGTTAGTCGTTGAGGAGTATCATCTTTTATTCGTAGAAAGGTTGTCAAGTCTTTCATTCCTAGAAACCTCGTTCTGGCTAAAATTCGAATGGAGTTAGAACTTATCTATAGCAAACGGAACTATGTTTGCTGATGTGCTTACGTTCCTTGCCGTTGATTGAAAAGGTAGCTGTCTGCGCCAATTTATTGATTCTGATGTAGAATTGGCAACCTTTGGAGATAACAAATGGTGGGTGGATCGAAATGTTTCAACTGAAACATACCTCTCCAACAACCCCTAAACTTGTTAGTTGTTAATGCTAGCAACTTCGAAGGAGCTTTTGGTCACTTGGGAACTCTCTCAGACCCATCGTCTGCTACTCTCGATCAATCGACCTCGGGCTGTCAAGACTCTCTCCTGCCCTAAGTAATCAACCTCAGTTCTCACGGATCGCCTCGATGGGCTTGTTTGTGGGGTGAACTCAATTACATTGTTTCATTTTGAGCATCACAAACCCAAACGTGTTAACTACAAACTTATCACTAAGGTACCTCGAGTCTGCTAGCCAATAATTCAACACGGGGTTCATAGAGACGGAGCGATTCTACCGAGTTCTAAATCGGAATCTTCCTGTCATCGCTACTCTTTCACCAACTGATCTTCCTCTGTCGCATTTCTCAACCAGAGAGTTAAGTCATCTGGAATTTCTAAATGGACCTGCCTAAACCAATCTTTGGAAGAAGACATGCCTCGAGAAAGCTCATCCGCCGCGTTATCTAGGGAAGTCACTCGTCGCTGTTCGACCTGGCAGTCGTAAGAGTACAAGATAGAGCTAATTTGCTTCCATTCTTGATTCACCCAGAAATCTCTGGACCTTTCGTTTTGTAACACGCCCTCAGTCGTGGTGTTGTCGGTCAAGACCAAGAAACGGCCACCTTCTATCTTCCGTAGTCTCGCCAAAGTCAGGAGTCCAAGACGGACCACAACTGTCTCCAGCCATGCGATCCCTCTTTTAGGTTGGTTCAGGGGTTTATCCCAACCAGGTAGTAATCGAAACTGTGACCAATCTTTTCCTACTATCACTCCGATGCCAAAAGACGTTGAGGCGTCCCCGACCCACCCGACATTTGTCACTTCTCTCTTCTTTATGAGGTGTCTATTTGGAAAGCTTTGAAGCGCGTCCATCCATACATTGAGGTCGCCTCTCGTCGCGGACGCCATCTTTCTCTTGGCGTATTTATCATGCCACTCTGCAAGCCAACGGAAACTACTTGATAAATAACACCTCAGTTGAGGTAAGATGTATGAGACATGACTGAGACGACCATTCATCTTTTCCACCTCCTTGTAAGAGTAGTGTGTTTGTCGTAAAAATTCATTGAGCTGGTCGATTCGTAGTTGTAGCTTTGGTATCGGAAGGCATACTGTTTTCTTTTTGAAATTCCAGAGAAAGCCAATGTACTTTTGCTCGTCGGCAAAATGTGAAAACTTGGTTTCGTTTGTCTTCACCCCCAGTCTTGCACTATAAGCTACAACTTCTTCCATGTTGAGCGGGTTCGTCTCTTCTTTGATCAAAAGATTATTGTCCACCCATCTAAAGGCTTCTTTTAGGCGAAAATGTCTCTTGACTAGCTCCTTCCATCCGTCGGCTGGACCACCAAAGCTTCCACATCCTCCTACACCACCGAAAGAAATACATGTGTCTATATACTGAAAACCGAAAAAGCATGTTAACAGTAAAAATGGCCATTGACTTGGGAGAGTTCCGATTTGTCGGTACGCCTTCTCCCAGTCAAACAGACCGGCTTGTATGGGGACTTCCGCTTCTGCTACGAATTCTGAGACAGTAGAGAAATTGTCCCATGTCGTTTTGAAGTCGTCCTTATCCACGAAGGAGTTGACACTGGGAATGTCTGGTTTGTTCTTCGGGAACGACAGGTCATTGATGGTTCTAAAGGAACCGTCGCCGTTTATCACTGCCCCCATCGGGCTCGACCGGAAGAATGGAAAACGAGATTGTAGTTCGGCTGTTGTGAAAGGGCCATACATCCTCCCCGCCAGCACTTCTTGGCGAATGTTTGTCATGATTTTTTCTCTGACTTCCTCTAATGATTGGTGATTAGGTGGGCAGTAGAATGGAAGATTCCCAATACGATGGTCCGGTATACCTTGATCGAACCCGTTCCTGAAACCCTCCAGAACAAAATCGAACTGCGGTAGTAAGTCGTACTTTTGTAACTCTTCCTCCCACAATCCAATATTCATAGCGCAGTAGGGTCCTTTTGGCCATCGAGATGATAGAGAATCTAACTCTTCTGTCGGTGAAGATTTTCTCGTTGGAATGCAGACCTCCGTGGAACCTTCAAGCCTCTGTCCTATAGAGGCGGCCTCTTCTTTTGGGTGAGGTTCTGATGCTGTTCTTTTTTCTCGACTGGTCAAGTCCAAAAAGGTGAATGGGGGGAGAACGCAAGATGTTATTACTTTCCAACAAACACACAGTCATACATTTCCGAAGGGACATTGTGCAGGGGGAGATCGCATTTCAACTAGCGAATTATGTGGGTCTAAAAGGGATTGGTTGCCAAAGTAAAACATCAAAATTCCATATTGAACACTGGAACAATATGTTTACAGTACTCTGACATGCGATTGATTAGGCGGTAAAGACAGTAATGTAGCAGATAAATACACGTGCTACAGGGGTTGGGTGCGTCTGGACAACAACTAAAGAACGACACGACTTCAAGAAAAAATGACCTCACTACAGCCCTTTCGTAAAGGAGAGGGAAAGGAAACTGTGTCATGAGTACTAGCTACCGAATGAACACTTACTGTTGGCGAGTTCTTCCTCTACCACTTGATGTTCCACCTCTACCCCTTCGGACTGTTCCTCTGTTATTGGTTTGACGAACATCGGAAGCTTGATCTCTCCGTAAGGGTGGGAGCATCTCGATGATGTCTGGGAGACGAGGAGCTCTAGGTAAGCGGGGGGCTCGCCTGTGGCCAGATGACGAGTTCAGTCGGGTTGAGGAGCGTTTCCGCTTCTTGGCCAGAGTGGTAGATGATCTTCACGAAGCACATTGGTTCTTGTCAGAACTAAAAAACCGTCTTTTCTCGTCGTGATACCCGGATGACAGGTACTCACTCTTCCCAAATGCCCGTGATAGGATCACGATGCTCGAATCGAGCTCCTTTAGCGTATGGATTCTCATTCCCCGAAGTGAGTTCACCATGCCGAGTCGCTTTCTCCTTCGCCGCTCTCTCAATACTTTCCACGTAGATACTAGCATCCGGGACTGGGACTCCTTTACCCCTATGACCAAACAGTTGCTCTCTAAACAAGATATCATACCGGAGCGCAACCATCCAACATTCCGTAGCGTCCCTGTGAATTTATTCATCAGTTAAGTGGAATTTTAATTCTTATTTAGACTGTCTTACTTGATGTCTTTGACATGTTTAACATGACCCTTCAGTTGATCGGACAAGATCAAGAAGTTATACATCTTCTTCAGGTACTTTCTCAACAAGGTGATACCATCTACCCATTCTCCGAAAGTCATTGCATATTCGGATGGGGGAGTGAGACCTCGGTTACGATTATTCTTAGATGAAGAAGTGGCGGGTTGGTTTTTCCTACTTTCAACCTTGTCCTTTTGCACAAACGTTGGGTTCAGAACGGTAAGAGGGACATTATCAGACAGGTTCTTCATCGCTTCTCCCCAATAAGGTTGGAGAGTAGGAAGGGACGATTTGCAAGGGGCTCCCTCTTGAAAACGAATGCCGTTTTCTTTCTTGATCCTCTTCTTGTTGGTGGAAGACTTGATCTTTGAGGACCATGCTTGTTTCCCATGTTTAGTCACTGTCTTCCTGTCTAGTGACGACAAAGAAGGTTTTCCCCCATCCAGTTGGATCGGACGTTAGTTTCTTGGGATGAGACCACGGGGTGATTCAGATAGTGTTTTCTGCGTACCTCTAGGAGGGGCTTTCTCTTTTGCTAAGAGGGCCTTTGCCTTTTCCTTCGCTCTAAGAGCCTTCGCAATCATCTTATCGATTGCTTCGATGGACATTTGTGCACCTATGTTTTGAGAAAACACGCAAGGCTGTTAGAAGCCAATCTCGACCAATGGGAGATGTTTGAAATGGGCTGTTTTGTGTAGCCTATAGACTAGGAAGTCTCTTCCCTTAAAGTGGGGCGCTCGAACTATGGGAGCTGGAGGAAAATAACACAAAAAGGTATGCCTTACGTTTCTTCTTTCCTTTAACTGTTTCTTTCGAATCGTCTGAATCGCTCAAACTATCGGAAGAACCAGACAATGATAAATCCTCATCCGAGGACTCGTCTCCCTTCTCGCTTGAGTCCGAGTTTGATGAACCTGAAGAGTCATCTGAAGATGAAGAATCGGGACTTCCATAGTTGTCCTCTGCGTTGTACGTGTCGTCCTCTGAATCCTCCTCTTGAGATTCTTGATCCTCCTCCTCCTCTTCACCTTTCACTCCTTCTTCACCTACGTAGCTGTCCATGTTCCTCAATCGTTTCACCGTCCAACTGATCGTCGATTGGATCATCTGTGCCTTCCAATTCATCCGCTGGAGCCGCGGGTGGCACGGTGGTGTTTGAAGAGGGGGGTGCGAGGATAACCGTTCCCTCTTCTACAGCCTCTCCTCTAGCACTACGGGTTACTCGACTAGTGGACTGGTTGTTGGCCATTTGAAGGATGATTATTCGACCGATGGTTGTGAATTGAAGACGATGCGAATATAGTAATGAAGAATGTGTAAACGTAGAGAGGTCACTATGCTAGTTACGGCAACAATTATCCTATGAATGGAGTGCAGGTAGAGACTAGAATTGGAGCTACTTAGAAAGGGATTATCCAAATCGAACCAATGAAACTATAGTATATTCTTTGTAAAACGACTAAAAATTCAGAACAAAAAAGTTTCCTCAACAACCTAAAGGATTGTAGTGAACTTAAATCAATTTAGGGAGGAATTGATATTTAACTCAAATTCTTATAGTAATATGGAATCTGGATAATATGATAGTTAATGCAGTGCAGTAAAATGGAAAGATGACTGAGATTAAAAAAGAGACAACTGAGGAAATGGGAGGGAAAGGGAGGAAGGTGCTTCTCCCTTTTTGATGCTTTATATGTCATCATAACCTCCGTTTATTCCTTCATTTCCAATATCGTGACGTATTTAATCTGATTATGTATTACTCTCGTAATCCCGCTTCTCTCGAGAAAAGAATATGACATTCCTCTTCCTGGGTTAGGATGACATGTTACTCATAACTCTCACTCCTATCCGTCATCTATTCTGGTGCACGCCTTCATGGACTAACTTCACATTTCGTGCCTCGTGTAAAGGCCTATGTAGAAAATTTTGATGAGTTACCAAATGATTTAAGATCCTTGAGAAACCCTGACCTCATAATTGTGGGTCTTATCATCAATAAATGGGATGTTATCTTTTGATTTGATGAATGACTTGGCACAAATGTAGCTCATCCAGTTAATCCCAGGGTTGTGTGAGTTTAATTTGATATTGGACTGACTTTTTTAGCAATAATTGCAAAATATGAAAGGTGAGATGAGATGAAGATAATGTAAATTGAGGCTAATTCTGGAAATTAGATAGAGATCTCACAGAAGGAGGATTACAAAGGCAACCAACTCCTTGGATATGCAAAAATGAAAATCAATTTCTCATAATATCTCCCAACTTCATTAGGGAATTTAAAACTGTGGGCAATTGAAATTTCAAATGCATTGGAGTTCACTCTTAGAAATATCTCATCCTCATCAATTGCCATTTTTTGTCTTTCCAAACAATGAGATGAGGTATAGTCCTCTGTTAAAAACAGAGGTCAACTTACAAGACAAAAGGCAAAAAATCCGTCAACTCTTATAATTCTGTTCTACTACAACTACTTTATCTATCAGATGGTCTTTGAGAACTCTCAATTATATCATAGGTGTTGATATACCTTGCATACAACTAATTGTGTTTAGAAAAGACAACAAAAGAAGCTGATCGGAAACTGTAAAGGTTGAATCAGACAATCAGGATCTTAGATGAGAGTGAGAAACACAGGTCAATCTGCTGATCAAATCAAAGAAAACCTCTGACCCAAAGAACAAAAGTTGAAAGATTCATCTGAACTAAAGAACATTTTGAGTGATAAAAGAAATTAAGACTAACTCATGCAAATTCAGTTGTCATTTCTGTATTCAAATTGTATTTCATTGCATTAAAGTTTGAGTTTGAAGTCAATAAAAGTCAAGACAACAGCTGATCCATTCTGACTCTGCCATTTTCAAAAATAGATTTAGTAATTGAGCTTGATACAATGCCAAAAATTTCATTGAAACCTGTAATGAATTATGCACCATCTTCCTCAATCTTTCTCTTGATCTGCTTCCCCTCAGCTTTTGATGATTCATTCACCATTGCTTTTAAATTTTTCTTCTTTAATAGGATCTTATTCCCCGAGGTTGGCAGGGATGTTAACAAAGTGGAAACTGTGTAACGGCAAATGTCACACAGGCGGAAGGGTCACCAGCGCGAGCTACTCTCAAAAGAGGAGCACCAAAGGCTACTGACAGACTCCCCCAATGAGTCTTGTTGTGCCAAAAAAATCTAACACAGTCCAATGTTTTCCTCTCATCCTCTTTCTGCAGTTGTTTTCACTTACCTATCATTTCAAAATTGTGTTTGAAAAAATCCTAAAAAGACTTATCAACTTATTTTCAAATTTCCAGTATCATTATTAGTACAGATAAAATTTTCTCTTTTGATTAGTTATATCCAAATTAAGATTCCAATTTCTTGCCCACCACCCTTCTGTCAAACAGGGGGTTAAGTTCCATGTGGTGCACTTTAATTTCTCTACAACACAGTTATCTTTTTATCTTGCAGGGGAGCGGGGAGCATCACAGTGGGATAGTTCAGCGCCTAGTGTGGCCACCCACAGTGCTCTCCCACCTCTCTTTCCCCGGGCCAAAAAATCATGCAATTCCAGGCCCCCGGGCCACAATGTGTAGCACAGGTGACCACAAGCCCTAATAAGCCAAACTGTTTCCTCTGAATTTCTTGATCATTTGCACAAATTAGTACCTCAAAAAGAGAAACGTGCATTTGAGAATAATTAAACAAACCTTCTTCAGTTCAAAAATAGATTGGTGCAGTTGTAGAAAACTCAGAGTGAGTGCATGTGGGGGTAGGGTACTCTTTTGGAGTACTCCAGGCTCACTAAAGTTGGGAATTGGGTAATTGGGTATTATAAAACAATTTCTTTATTTCAATATGTGGTAAGTACAACATGAAATAAAGAAAAGAAAAGAAAGGCAAAGAGAACTACAGTACCAGTCTGTTTGGACAAATCCAGACAGACTACAGTTAGTTGACTCTTTAAAAAGAGGTTATGAATTATAATTATAAGAGTTAAAATTAATGAGAGCTGGATCCAAGGCTTTCATTCAATCTCAAACTGGTTGTTCTTATGGTCACCAACCTAAGTACTTGTATATAAGCCACTACCCTTTGAGTTGTTTGAGCTCACAAACCTAGTTTTGATTCTACTTGGGGAAAGTAGAGGATCCAGAAAAGTGAAGGGTGTATTACTTAGTTTAGTCAGGAAGCTATTCAAAGTAATGAAGTAAATCACTAGTCTTATTTATGAACTTCAATTAACCTTTAAAGTTGTTCTTTAAAAGTGATGTGTAATAAAAGCTTTGGGGAATCTGCTTGAAGGCTGAGAGAGGGAAGGATTATATAATCTACTCTCTAAATCTAGCTGTAGTGATATTTGTTCATATCACTACAATGGTTCAGGGTTATTATTTATTATTATTATTATTATTATTATTATTATTATTATTATTATTATTATTATTATTATTATTATTGCTACTTATGCTTCATTACATGTATGTGTTAAGTATATTATGTAGTATAAGCATTTTAACTCTTGACACTGAGTTATGAGGTGAAATTGGTGTCTTATTACATATTACATGTGGGTTTGAGTGTACATGTATATGTAATTAGTGTTTGTAGATGATTTATTACAGGACCCTGGAAAGCTCCTACCAAGGCGTCTGATGAAACCTGTTTTGCAGTTTTTGGGCTCTACACAACACACCACTCCTTCTCTCAAGGTCCAGAGCACTTCAAAAGATGCGCATAGAGTAGGGCTATCAAACACGCCTACTCCGCGGCTCTCAACTTTGCTCAATCGGGCGCAAAATCGATTGGTGCAAAAAAATTTTGTGCCTTGGAGACCTGATCCCAACATTCGATTTTGAGGCTGTTTTTGACCGCTACATCCAATTATCTCAGGAAGTATAGGTGCTACAAGGCTAAAAGCTAGCTCAAATGAAATTCTTTTATCTCGCGCACATTTTGCACTACTGTAGGTCTCTTGAATGTGATGTTTAGTGCCCGAAAACCTCGCCAACAGGATGTCGGGTTTTACATCAGACGCCTCAGTAGGCGCTTTCAAGGGTCCTTTTATTACATGTTAAGAATATTCTCTAAGCTTTATGTACCTGTAATTAAGTCTCTTAAGGGTTGGTTATATGTTACAAATTAGTCTTTGGGTACATACATATGTACCTAGGGCTGACAGCATCATTGGAGTTGTAGTATACCACGGGGTGGTTAAAAGTGTTTCCTATGATGAATCCCCAGGTGGCATGGGAAACCATAGATCTGGACCTACGGTTTCAGCCGTTGATTCAAGGATTGATTCAATACAGTTGATATCAAAGCTGTCATTGCCAAATTTGGGTAAGTTTTTCTTGTACCAGTCATACCTGGATTTCAGATGTACTGAGATCTGCGTTCAAAGAATGGATGTGTCCTTAGCCTGTTGTCCAAGGGATACTTCAACAGCAGCAAAGGCACATAGCCCATTCCGTGGGACATTGGTAGAAGATTTGAGGAAGGGAAAGATGTATGTAGGTACGTCTTCTACAAAAGGCCATGCCTTGATGAATAACACAAAAGAGTCAGTTTAACCATGCTGTTTAAGTAGAGCTAATACCAAAGTACAATGTGAATAAAATACCTTCAATGCTTTGATCTTGACATGTTTGAGAAGTTTGAAGTAGGTGGCACTGAGAGGCTTGCAATACTAACAAAACAAAACACAAGCTTAGGCAAGAACCTGTAATGTTGGTTTTCAGGGTAAGATACTGACCCTTTGTTTCTGCAAGCGCTTGCTAATAAAATTGTAATTTGTCATCAAAAGATCTATCACTGCACACCTGAGCCATAACACCCACACTACATATGTGCATCCAGCTGGGTAAGTAGGTGACTATCATTTACATACAGTTCTGCTCAGTTATCTGTGATCTGGATTCTGGATGCGTGAATGTTATGGGTGCCCAAAGGCACGGTGGTACCCAGAGATTTCCATAAGAGATTGGAGATAGCGGCCCCAAAGATGAAAGCCCCGAGAGAACCCAGCCCTGAGTTCTCCAGTTGAAGTATCAAAGAGCACACACAGACAGTAGAAAATCTCTGTCCTTGAAATTACCACTATCTCCCAATCTCACTTTCAATAAGAAAAAATCACCACTGTTTTCTTGTCTCATCACAACAAAAATTTGTTTTGTCCTCCCACCCATCCCTTCACCCGCCGCGCAGAGAACCACCCTATCCAGGGAGTCCACGGCCTTAGGCCCCCCCCAAACACGTGATACCTGACTCTTGAGAGGAAGGTAACACACAGAGACTTCAAGATTAGATTGGAGCTTATGTGCGTATGGTGATGGTATATAATAGATACTTAATTATGTAAGTATGTATAATAAAAACTAGGCAATAAAACACACATAAATAAAGCATCTGAGACAGTGCACACTAAGAACTGATGGAAGTGTATGTAATATGTACTGTAACTGATTTTGGTTTGCAAAATCATACTGAAAATCGACTACATAGACCAAGCCAAAGTTTTGGTGCAATTTCATTGACCAAACTTTAAAGGGATCTCTGATCCCTGTTCAGATCAAGAACAACAAAAAGCCAGTCAAACAGTCTAATCGGAGAAGTGTTGATCCGGAGATATGTTGATGATGAGGTGTTGTGGTTGAAGAAGTTAATAATGATGAAGAAAAAGAAACTTCCTCAGATCAGGAATTTGATAGGCTGGATCAAGCGGTACAAATTGTGGTTAGGTTAAGCTAGACAAAAGGTTTTGAGTAAAACATTGGACAAACTACATTGTGTGCACAAACAAAATAGATAGAAAGAAAACAGAGTAAGAGAAATCAATAAGAAATGTAATGTAATAGTTTGGTTCCAACAAACTTCATGTAGCATCCTTCACGTTACTGACAGATTGCTTCAAGAGTATTGCCTGAGTAGCTATGGAGATATATGTAGTCAATGTTTGTGAAAATTTTGTCAAAGCAAAAAAAGTTACAGCATGTACTACATATGATGCATGTATCCTGATGAGCAGATAGCTGAGCAGAACTGTATGTACATGATAGTCACCTATTTACTCAGCTGGATGCACATACGTAGTGTGGGTGTTATTGCTCAGGTGTGCAGTGATATATCTTTTCATGTCAAACTATCATCTTAATCATTTTCCAATTCCTACTTGGGGATAATGCATAATGTTCACAGTGTGAAGGACCCCACTGTTCCTACACAGAGGAAATCAGAAAGATTCCCAGAGTAGGGTTCCTATTCTTGTGACAATATAATTAATCAAGTAAAACTAGGTGTTAGGTCATAAGACACCATCTCCCCCTCACAAATTTCCCCTACAGATATAGTAGTGGACTATGCAAGGGAGGGAACACTTTATGAAAGGGTGTGCGCTTGCACTTGGCTTGGGATGTGGGCCCATCTGTACTCATTTCATCAATGTAGCACCAAAAAGTGTGCTACCATAGAGTGATGCATTTTGGAAAGGAAAATAAGAAAGTAGTGTTGACAACATGTATGCGGTCACATTACGGTCACACGTGAACAAAGGACCAGCCTGAGTTACAGTGAAATAAACAATACTAGCAAACACTCGTTGGATTGTGTTAACCAGATAACAAAGTAGGAAACAAGGCTGAAGGAAGCGGCCAAACTAAGAGCAAACAGGGTGCAGATAGAGAGCACTGGAAAATGAAAGTTGTTAGATTGTGGCCAAAGACATAGTCAACTGTGATAACAAGAACACACCATAAAGAATTCTTCTCAAATTGAAGTGGGATTTTCATATTTCAAGATTGCTCTTTGTTCTGAAAGTGAAATGGAACAAGCAAGGTAAGATGATATTTTGTAGTGTAGTGAACATGGACGGGCAGCTTACCTGCTTGAGATATTGATCCGCCAGTAGACGAAGGCCTACAGGGGTCCAGAGGTTTTGAAAGCTAGTATACGCAGTAAGGCAGTTACCCATAACATCACAATTTCCCCATGAAAAGTTGTTCACATAAGTGTTACAAACACCATAGCCAAGACTTGACACGATACTATTGTAAAATACTCTAGTAAACGGACAAGTATAAAGGCCACTGGCTGTTAAGCCAAATCCTGGAAGCCAGTTTCCATAAAAACTACCGTAGCATCTTTCTTGAATTTTATTAGGTGTATCTCCTCCAATCTCTTGTTCAACCCGAGGAATTAGAGAAGTAGGTACAGCCATGATAGCTTGGAAAGAAACCAAGATAGCTAAGAAGAAGATAGAGCAGTTCATGATGAGTATTTCTGTGGAAAATGTAGTAGCAAAGATCTGATGGATTTGGTTAGAAATGTATGATGAGTTGGATGGTGAGCCAAAGTACGCAAACTAGCACGCCTTTTATATCTCTTTTATCACTTTGATGGTGCAGTCATAAGTCAGTTGTTGTGCGTGAAGAAAAAGCCGTTGTTTGTAAATTGTATAGGTTAATCAACTTATGAGGAGATCACGAGAAACTCGCTTTCTTCTTCACGCTCAGGTTACCTATCACTATCGAAGAGCTCAATTCAATCATTCTCGGTCGACGTTTACCTTCTCAACATTCGATCGTTACTCCCGCCGTATCTGATGAATCATGAAGAGAGTCGAAATGATCCTGTGTAGGCATCTCCCTGCTTAACTATTCCTATGATCAAGGAGGCAGGGATCTGTGGACACCCAGGTAAATGGAGACCGAGGGCCCACCAAGCCACGTGACAGATCTCTTTCTCCGCTTCTGCTGCTCTCGAATCAGAGAATTTTCTGAAAAGAGTCAACCCATCTTGAATGATCCATTATGTCTTTCCTCTCAACACTGAGATTCCATCAAAGGCAGCAGCGACAACAAATCCCCCGTCAGCTTCTAGGCTGATTTCCAACCTGAGTGAAAACAACAGCTGCTACTTCATGTTCACCGGCGCCCTTGTTATGACCTGTTTTACTGGGATGATCTTTATTCCTCTGCGCTCCACAAATATCTCAACAACTTGTTTGTCAGAATCGACATCTTGGTTCATAAGCCCATGGGGGTTATCGGGGCTGAGGAGCCCAACCGGGGCCCGGGGTGTGAATCCAAGGGACGAGCGAAGAAACTCATCCGCCGGAGAGATCACACGATGCTCTCCGAGATTCAGACTCATCAGCCGCAACAGCATTCAACCTCAATTCTCAGCTCGCTGTTTGTTTAAGTGATAAGAAAAAAAATTGCACCGACCCACCCACCCAACATAAGAGGTCACAGACGAGAGAACACCTACCCCCCATGGCGTGTAGCACATACTGTCAGCTCTTGGTTTGTGAACTCCAAGCTAGCATAAAGGGACATAAAAGTCCTCAAACCCCTAGCTGAGCTAGTTGTGGAATGGGCCTGGGGAGCTGGTGGTATCATGAGGAATTGCCTAACTTCGTACAATGGCTTTCTCAACCTCTTGACCGTTCCAGGTCTTCGTATGTAACTGTTGGTGAAAGAAGAAATCTTACCTGACCAGTCCCCATCCCCTACACTGCTAAATACCTTTTTACCATTCTTGATCTCTCATTTACTTTCACAGCACAGAACAATCTTGAAGAGTGGCCGAGTAGTGCTCTATCCCGATTCAGACTGCCTGCTCCAGCGTCTTTATTCGTGGTCTCTGCAGATTTGGATTCACTAAACTCAATCCCCATTTGCCAATCTTATCCGTTCAATCAATATACAATGATTCATATGTTTCTCATTTCTCCAAACTTGTTGACTTGTAACTCTTTGTACCAAGGCCATTAATCTCATGTAGTACAAGGATTTGGAAGACTTTGAGGTCCATCAAAGACATCAAACTTCCTTTTGGAGAAACAAACAAACCAAGCAAACATGTTTTTTTACCCATTTTTATACAGTGTGTCATCAGCCATGTCTAATTATTCACCACCACTACTAAGACCGCCATTAGTACTACTAAGACGTATTTTGCCTTCATGATTGTGTTAAGAAGAAACTGCTGGTAAACACTGTTGAGTTTGTGAACTCTGGAACAGCGAGAGCAAAGGATAAAGGAAAGGTAAATAACTTGTTATTTCAACTATGCAAGAGAAGAGAGAAAAAGCTAGAGCCTACCTGGAACAGCGAGAGCAAAGGATAAAGGAAAGGTGAAGAGAGAAGCACCTTTCCTGAGCTGTTCCAGGGAGGTTATATAGTGAAATTACAAGTTGTAGTATCACATGACTGACAGGTTGCAAAGCACACGAAACTGAAATGAAATGTTTGAAATGAAATATTATGTAAAGGACACGTATGTAGATTAATATGAAATGAGAAATAATGAAATGTAAGTTATATGTCAACGCAGGACAGTTGTCATAGGATAGTCTCACAGGACTGTAGACAGGACTCGAGAAAGAAAAACATGACTATCCCAACACCCCCCCTTGCGTGCAACAAGTAAAAAAAAATTTTAACAATAACAAAAAAAAATAAAGAGAGAGAGAAAAAAAATATCACACGATGCCAAACCTCTCTCTGTGTGATTGCAAGAGAACACGATTGAGAGGCTTTGTGAGCATATCTGCAAGCATGTCTTTAGATGCCACATGATGAATTGAAATTGAATTATCTGCCACACACTCCCGTACGAAATGATAGCGAGTGTGTATGTGTTTAGTACGGGAGTGATGTTGAGGATTCTTAGCGAGAGCTTCCGCACCCTCATTGTCGACGTGTAGAGGGATAGCCGAGGGAGGACGAAGATGAAGCTCTGCTAGGAGATTACCCAGCCAGAGACCCTCACGACACGAGTCCGACAAAGCTTTGTACTCCGCTTCAGTACTGGATAGCGATACAGTAGCCTGTTTCCTAGTTCTCCACGAGATGGGACCACTGCCCCAGCGGTAAGAATAACCCGTGGTGGATCGTCGATCATGGCGGTCTTCTGCCCAGTCGGAATCGGAGTAGCCAGAGATGGAAGGATCACCTCCAAGAGTAAGGGAGAGATGAGAGGTCGAGATAAGATAGTTTAGAACTCGAAGACCTGCACGCCAGTGAGACTCGGATGGATCTCTGAGAAATTGAGATAGGCGGCTGACAGCAAACGAGATATCAGCTCTCGTGCATTGCGCAACCCATAGCAGAGCGCCGACCAGACTCTGGAAATGACCTGAGGAGGGCTGTTCGGAAGGTTGACGAGGTACGAGATCTTTGAATGATCCATCGGTGGGAGTGTGAACTGTGATGTGAGAGTCAGGTAGGAATTTATCTTGCAAATCCTTGATATAGTGAGCTTGATTGATGAAGACTAGTCGTTTTGCCTGATCACGGCGAATATCCAGAGAGAGAAAATGGTGGAGTTCATCGTTTGAAGAAATTTCAAAATGAGAAGATAATTGAGCGATAAATGATGTTACGAATGAATCCGGACCAACCACCGAGAGATCATCAACGTGACATGTGACAAGGCCTACGAGTTTTCCATTCGATAGTTGGAAGTAGAGAGTTGGGTCATGAGTTGATTGTGTGAGACCTAAAGCAATGAGAACAGAATGAAGCTCCTTATTCCATTGACGAGGAGACTGCTTGAGACCGTAGATTGAACGAGTAACCTCACACACCCAGTCAGGGTGGAGAGGATCTTCATAACCAGGTGGCTGATTCATGTACACAGGTTCGTCGAGATGCCCGTTGAGAAAGGCCGTCTTTATATCGACTTGTCGACCCTTCCAATTCCTGGTAGCCATCATAGACAGAACCAGACGTAGCGTCTCGAGACGAGTGGTAGGGGCAAAGACTTCATCATAATCAATGCCCTCCACTTGAGAATAACCCATAGCTACCAACCGCGCTTTGAGTTTGAGAATTGTGTTATCTACCCGTCTCTTGATTTTGAAGACCCATTTCGAGCGAATGATTTTTCGTTTTGCCGGGCGAGGTACCAACCTCCAAGTGTTCATGCCCATGAGAGAAGAGAATTCGGCATCAGCCGCAGCTAACCACTTCTCCTTATTAGGAGATCGTTGAAGTTGTTTCCATGTTTTCGGAGTATCAGATACTTGTTCGGTAGGAGATGATGCGGAGTTGACAAAATTTCCAAGTCGATCGGGAGCATTCCGAGTTCGAGTGGAACGACGAGGTGGTAAAGACGGAGTTGGATTTTTAGACGGAACAGAAGAAATGGCAGGAACAGACGGAACAGGAGAGGGAGAAATAAGAGAGGGATTTGTGTTTGTATTAAGAGATGTAGAGGATTCAGAGGTGGATTGTAAAAGATTCGTAGTACATTGGATTTTTGATTTGGGAGGAGAACGAGACGGGGGAGTAGAAACACGTCGTTGTGGCACTATGGATTGTGGAGGCGAAGGTCTAGGCGGAGCATTAGATGCAGACGGAGAGTTGCTAGTATGAGAAAGAGGAGGGAAATCATTTGTAGACAAATTTGAATTATTAGGAAGAACATTTTTAGGAGAAAGAAATGGAGACGGTTTTGGAATAGGAAACTGATTTGGAACGTTCTTCGTAGAGGGAGTAGCAGGAAGAGGAGAAATATCTGGTAGATGACTAAAGCTAGAAGGGGAGATAGGACGTCTAGCCGGGTTATGAATTGACTCAGACAGACGACAATGTTTTAGAGAAGGAAGAGTTCTACCACGTACTGGCCAGGGTATGTCTGCATTCAGATTAGAAGCATTAGAAGAGGGACTGAGAGAATTGGATTTAATGGATGGAAAAATTTCGTGATTAAAGATAACATCACATGTTTTAACAAGTTTAGCACGAGCGATATCCCAGACGTTATAGCCATTTCCATCTGGTAAGTAGGATAGGAAGATTGCTCTACTACCTTTTGGATCTAGTTTTCGACGATTTGCCTCAGGAATTTTGTAATATACTTCACAACCAAAAGGATGAGTTTTAGATAGGTTTATTGGAGAAATAGAAACGAGAGAAGAGGGAGAATGAAAGCCTGCTGGTGTGTTGCAGGGAATAGAGTTCAGAGAATGAGCAAGGTACCGTAAAGCATCAACCCAGTATGATTTTGGTAAACCGGAACTGGACAGAGAGCAACGAATGTGATTACATATGGTTCGATTAGTTCGTTCAGAGACACCGTTGAGTTCGGGAGAGTGAGGTGGACCTGGATCATGATCTATACCAGCTTCTGATAGGTAACTCTGAAATTCTTTTGATATATATTCACCACCGTTGTCAGTTCGGAACTTCTTGATGGGACGCGATAGTCTAAGCTCAAATTTTGCACGAAACGCTTTAAAGCAAGAAAACGTATCACTTTTTAATTTCATAGGATAGATAATTGTAAATTTAGAAAAATCATCGATAAATGTAGCGAAGTATTTGAAGCCTTCACCAATACCCGAATCGCTCCGAAACGATATGAAATTTGGTCCATTTTCATATCGTTTCGGAGTGGGCGCTATGAATCGCTCCGCTCCGAGATCGCTATGAAAATGGAAAAAATCCTTGCCAGGTATCGGAGCGGAGGAATTGATCAATTCCCGCTACATAGCGCACTTAGCGGTGATGTAGGAAGACCAAACAAAAATTTTGTATTTCAAATATATTTGTACGTGACCATAGGGCTAGATACGTAGGAGAGTAGGACGTGTTTTCATAGAGACATCAGAAGCAAGAGAAACATGTATAATAAGAAAACTCAGAGTCAAGGTGAGACTTGAGTCACTTTAAGGAAGGAACACGTGTAAGAAATGAAATTGTATAAAAAGAAATTCTTTCGATGAAAGTAAATTGATGGACCTATCGGGTCATCTTTCCCGATGATTGCTTCTTTACCAATGCTTGCATATAAGATTGAAGCGCTTTGGCAGCTTCTTCAAACACCCCATCAGGGACGATTCCCTCCTTCAACCACGCTTGAGATCCAACAAGTCGCTCCATAGTTTTTGGGAGCATACTGCCTCTTGAAGGTGTACACACATCGGCAGCGGCTGAAAAAGTCCGCTCGCATGCACATGATGTGGCGGAAATCGCTAAGTAATTGCAAGCAATTGACGAGAGGATAGGGAAGTGGGTTTCGTGTTCCTATTGGTCATAAAGTAGGTTAGTATCCTCAGAAAGGGTGAGAAATAAGATAAGGATGGGACATACCTTCCACCATTGCAGAGGAGTTTCACCTTTACCGATAGGGAATTTACCAGATAAGTAATCTTCCAGCTCTGAAGTCGGATTCTTACTGGGACCGGTGTCAGATGTTCTAAACACATCAAAGTCATCGGACTCTGAGACTGTAGGCTCGTTAGTATCTTCTGGTGGTGGGGTTGGCTCGTGACGGTGAATGTTGATCTCATCAATGGCAGATTTGAAGGCATCCTCAATAAGCAGCTGCGATGACTCTTCGTGATCTGGATAATGAAGGTTGAAGAACTTGACTCAAAAGCGAGGGTTGACGATGGTTGCCAGGGCTATCGCGTCACAGTTGGCCGCCTCGTCTTGATATTCGGTCAGCCACTTGACCATGACATCGATGGCCTTGTCAAGAGAAGGGAAAATGAAAGCTTCGTTTTGAATATCGAGGAGTTCTTTGATTACGCGCTTATATTCAGCCAAGAGGATGCAGCCAGTAGGCCCATCCCCTTCTACTCGAGCTGTAGCATCAACAAAAGTCTGCCCATCCAAAGCGGTCAGATCAGTCAGTCAATGAACAAAACATTATAACCAAACTTTTGAAGGAAAACTTACCTTCAAAACCTTGTTTACCATTTCGACAGCATGCCACTCTGAAGCTGAGATTGTGACACCTTTAAAAAAACACGCCTTTCTATCGGCAG